TATCCTCAGGTGTTGGTCCCTCCCCCTCATCCAAGTCTTTCAGGAGGTCGGCCTGGTATGCCTGCAAAATAGCCATCGAATGCAGACATGAACCAGCACGACCTGCCGCCATATAAGCCCTTCCAACCAATGCAGAGGTATCTCAGCATGGTTTACTGGGCAGCGCCGGGGCTATAAGGGAAGATGCCGCTTCAGGAGACAGGTATCCAGCGAGTGCCTCCTCCACCTTTGGCATCTTCCCATATCCCATATCCCTTGCCCCTAAAACATTACTATAATCGACCACTGCTGGATTAAAGACACGGGACGAATGGGGTTTTTCCCACGATCTCGAAATCTCTTTGTGGAGATCGGGAAAAAATGGTAAACCCCGGCGCTGAGGCTATGGCCTGTGCTGCAGGAAACGCTTATCTAATTTGCTTTTTATTTGCGTTATTTGCATGCTATAGCCACTCTACTTGGATCACCGATCACATTTCCATCTATATTTAATTTGATTTTTTTATTAATGGTATTATATTTCCGTTAATTTATTCAAATTCTGCCAGATTTCTTTATTGTTCCCCTTTGTTTCACTTATAGCATTAATAACAAATGTTGCTTTAGCCTTTTTAAGCTCTTTTACAACCTTATTTCTCAGTGTGGTAAATAGATGCCTCTCATGTTCCACTTTGTTCCTGAGAGCCATCTTGAGAGCTTGATCCCTTTGTTTCATGAGTGACCTTATGTTTTCATTTAAGTGTTACTGAAGAACTAGTAATCCTTCAATAACCTGTTGAAAATCAAAATTACTCATTACACGTTTTAGCTCTTTCCTTTTTGCTTTATCAGTTTATATTAAAATCTCCTAATAAAATTATCTCATTGTTAGTATCACACTCTTTGAGTAGGATATTCAACTTATCATAGAACACTTTTTTTTTGCAGATGGTGGTCTATATATTACAATCACAGTGAATGACATTTGGGCTGAGAGAGTTAATTTAAGACCGATACATTCTAGGTCATTAACACAGGACCATTGGATTTGCTTACAACTTAGATTGTCCTTGACCTTGACATAAAATAACACACCTCCACCTCGACCAATAAATCTGTCTTGTCTAAACATTTTAACGGTGCACTTTTAAAGTATCGGCTGGAGAGTTTGCGTGCACGTCTCTGATAAGCATAAAAAGTCCCAATTTGATTCATAAAGGAGATGTTGTAGTTGTTCACTTTTAGGAATTGCACTTCGGAGTTCGGATATTCAAGTGTCCGCCTAATAATCCGTTTCGTTTGGCCTCAGAGTCCCACAGAATACGAGCCTGGTTCACTGTTCTGAAAAGTTTATGCCTACGGTGTTTCACAATTGCGGGATTTACCTTGCGTTTCAGTTTGATAGATGGTATGGAGCCAATCCCCTGCACACCATCCGTAACAGTTGGCAGGATTCCTGCAGTCAACTCACCCAGTCCGCCAGCTTCAAAGGTAGGCCGATTGCAGTTAACAGTCAATTTTTGTCCCAGTCTATCCAAACCAGGACATACGTTCTCCGCGAGTGCCGGTGGCCCGCTTCTCCTACAGTTGGTCCAGGATTAAGATGTACATCCCCAGCAAGAAGGAGCGTGACAATTAAGTATCCAGAAATTACTTGTTGTAGTTGCACTAAGTTGTAGGAGCATCACAATAAAGAGTTAGCAGATATTAAGCAGCCAAAGTCTACTAATACTCGAGAGTTAGTTGACATGTAGTTGCCAAGACTTACTTATAGTCAACAGAATGTTCAAAAAGGGACCATTAAAATAAAGTTACCCTTTTTTTGTAAGGGAAACTGCAGATTTACATTGATTTACAGCAATACTATCATTTTTTATTGATCATTGATCACAGCTGATTGAAATTGTAACAAACAACCATCTTCAATCATGAACAATAATAAATTGTTTTTTTTTTTAAAAAAATTTTTTTATTTTTTTTTTATTAGCATCAAGCATTTATTTGCATTCATGAAACTGAGATTCTGTTCACACCAGAGAGGAAAAGCTGAGGGGCACGGTTTAGGCCACAGTAGCCCGTCCAGCCTGAAGATGGATGGCTGTGTTAGTGGCACTCTGATTAACAGCTCCATCCGGACTTTGGCTGGTGGCTCACCAGTCTGGAGCTGCTCCAAGGAGACCCCACTAGCCCAGCTGTGCTGAAGCAGGCAAGGCCTCGCCTGATGACTGCAGTGGCAGGAAAATACATCTTCTTGCATTGAGCCTCAAATGTATTTCCCCCTTCTACATACACTGTGATTGAGGATTCAGTGCGTGTTCTGATGAATACAAACACAAACACACTCATCATTTTCTCTTTCACCTAAATGGCACCTCATCTCAATGCAATGTTGATGGAATCAGCGCTGCTGATGTGCAATGCAGAACTTTGCTAATGATTCTCTCAGCACCGTCATCAACACATCATTCAGTGCTCCTCGATGATTTCACCATTATGTGGGCGATAAAAGAGCCCTGGTGAATTTCAATGCAACATATTTTGGAGGGGAATAGAGGCCCAGGAAGCACTGTGTTAAAATAAACATACTGTATATATGAGATAAGTGTATGTGTGTGTTTACTGCCAGCTGACTGAAGATAAGGGGAGAATTTGAGAGAAAGAGAGAAAATGGACGAATGCGGAGAGAGACGAGAGCAGTATTTCCTGATTTTGTGGGGAGACCCACATCATTTGAGCTGACTCCTTGCTGAACTCATGATCAGTTCATTAATCCTAATTTCACAGTGAGTCAAACAGTTGATAACTGCAAGAGAACATACTGTATGCACTCTGATGCTCTTTATTAGCAGGTCTGCATGCTATAGATATAGTGTGTTTAAGTCGAGGCTGGATGTCATCAAAGGTTTTGGGATGGATGGATGGATATGTTGAACTCAAGTTTGTCTTCAGGACTTAATCATTCAGCAGAATATTTGCCGCTTTGGGAATCACTCCTGCTTCAAAAAACAAAAATAAAAAAGTGTACTCTCCAGCCACAGCAGCCAATCACCACTTTAGTTTCTCACAGTTAACTAGTTGCTTATTAGCATGCATATTACTAGGGTATTGGCTGTGTATAAGTACGTATAAGCAGTGGCGTGCACAGACCTCCTCAGGGGCAGGGGTGGAGGGACCAAAAAGGGCACAATTTTTTTTTTATATTTAATTTAACAGTACCTGCATTTTTATTCTCTCTATTCAGCCAACTTGTGAGAGGGATGCTTCCTTTGGCTGCATCATAGAGTTCCTTGATTTTTTTTTTTTTATTCTTTCTTTCCTTGGCATTCTAAGAAAATATGTTTTTACAATTATTAGAATGCATAACACATCAAATGAAAATAGGGAAATTATGATAACATTACTAAATATTATTTACTTTACCAAACAAAACAGTGAGACTCAAGAAGGTAAAATTTATAATTTTATGGAAAACTAATTTTTAGTTTTGTTGATGTTGTAAACTTAATGTATGTATTATATGTATGAAAGACCGTGTTAGCTATCATGAATCAGTAACACTTTACAATAAGGTTTCATTAGTTAAATTAGTTAGCATCAGCTAATAATGAACTGCACTTCTACAGCATTTATTAATCTTAGTTAATATTAATTTCAGCATTTACTAAAACATTCAAATCAAAAGTTGTATTTGTTATCATTAGTTAATGCACTGACTGTGACATAACATGAATAAACAATTAACAGTTGTATTATTAACTAAGATACAGTAACAAATGTGTTGCTCATGGTTAGTTCATGCTAGTTCATACATGAGTAATGAACAAATGAACCTTATTGTAAAGCGTTACTATGAAATCAAAGATATAAGTTCCTTACAATTTAGAGTTGGACATTGACTTAAGATTTCATTTAACTAACGTTAGATGTATTTCCCCTTGCACTTTTATTCCTTGGATAAAAACGAAAAACATTGTCACTCAGAATGCGTCTGAAATCGAGTTATACTTTTATTATAGTTAAGAATAACTCGCTTGCTGCCGCAACTTTTAGAGTAGCATGGTGATCGTAGGATAAATGTAATTTTCCGTATTAGCTTAATGTTACCTGCTGCTCGTTTGAAGACTCGCGCGAACTGCTGCGTAGTGCGTAGAACCGTTAAATGCGTACGAGGCGCTGCAAAGGAAACTCCGCCTACCACTCCGCCCAAATTTTTTTTATATAATATTTGTTTGTATTATTATTGTTAGTGGCAAGGGTGTGTAAGTGTATTGTTATTTATTATAATATTTATAATTATTATTATTATTATTTACAATGATCAGAAAAGGGCACAATACATTTTGAGACAAAAGGGGCAGGGGCTTGAGCTTGATTTAAAAACATCCACTTATGCAAAATTACGATGGTAAATATTTAATTGATGAGTTGTCAATAAAATATATAGCAATATAGGATACGACTTAACCACTAAATTCAGCACATTGACACAAAATGATAACTGCAAAAACACCTTTCGCTGCCTGGAGTCCAGTTTTTTTTTTTTTTTTTTTTGTGAATTGCAGCCATCCATTTGCTTCTCTGCTCTATAACTTTCGGCATACTGTAAAAATACAATTACATATTGCATAAAGTAAAATGGCATATCAATTCGAGGATAATACTAAAACAAAAAACAAAACAAAAAAACTACATTTACAAAACTTTTTTTCTGGTTCTCTCAGGATATTCAAGTCTGATGTTCTGCCAAATAATATAGGCTACCTCTCAGATTGTGCTACCAACACTATATTTGTGGTGACACACAAAGTCTGATGCATAAGTTACTACTTGATTTTTAGTAATGTTTATTGGCCTGTTACCATATTTTAAATCAGAACGGTGTTGCTACAACAGTGTTGCTCGTGTGATATTGCTCAGAAATCAGTATCCTTATTAATTGCTTATTTGTAAATAATACGCCTTTTTATTCCACGGCGAAATACCGCGTTTCTCCTCAATCTGAAGCCTGTAATGCTGAGCAGATCCAGAGTGCTGGACAGTAGCAGAGTGGGCGCGTGGGGAGAAAAACACGTCCATGACATCATCCGCCTTGTTGTGATTCCCGATATCCCACCGGGTTCATCTCGTGGATGCAGTCACAGGATTCCCACACTGATTTCCCCCGTGTGCAACTTCAGCTCTTCGGTAACGGTCTGATGCTGCTCACGCCCGCGTTGGTTTTAGTTTAATTCTTGCGATATCTTTTTGCACTCCTCGGCTTGGCTTTCGACATCGCCATTGTTGGGTTCAGCAGAGTTATGAGAAGGACGGCTGAGAGATGCTTCCGGTGTAAAAGTGATATCTTTATGAAAGCTGTCGCGAGGAAGAGCTGTCCGCTGTGCTCATGCGATCGAGGCTATTGTTAGACGAGATGAAACGGTGTCGGTTGGCGTGACACACCTGGGATTGTTACAGCAGACCTCCAAGCACGTATTTCTACCCCACATCCATCGTTGTCTGCAAGCGGAAAGGATTCGTTTGTTTCGCCGAACATTAGTTAGAGAAGCCATTCTAGTGTATGTTATTTCATGGGGATGTGTTCAAGGCAAGAGAGGATTCAAAAAGACGTCGACATCGTAATTCAGAGGTGTAAGGCAGAGAAGGACTGCCTGTTTTCTGGTGAGTTTCCATTGTCTCTTATTAAGAGTGCCGTCTTAAACAATTGCCATAGATTTGCTCAACACAATTGACAGGCTGTCAGCCTCACCGCTGATGGCTTTATATCCCCCTTCACACAAAAGACCGATATGTTCAAAAACATGTATGTGGCCAATGTGCTCCAGCGTCCGCAATTTAATCTTTCCTGGACATTATAAATTATGCAATAATCAACTGCAACCGAGGGCCTAGCAAAAACGTGAGCTATTCTGATTTTATCATCATCATAATAAAATCATTAACATGCCTGTCAGGTGTTGCTTTGTGATGTGAATGATTTTTCAATTAGCCCACGCGTTAATATTGTAGACCATCACACATTTATTAGGTATCAATTTGATTCTCGTAGCTGCTATATTTATTGTCAGTGGACAATGGACATTCCCCGTTGATGTTGCTATGGAGACTAACGTTACACTTGTTGAAAGGGACTTTTTTTGTGGTCCAGTGTGTTTTATTGTTCACACACCCCAAGTTTGTGTCATCTTAATTGTCTCTTTGTTTCAGACTTTAGATTCTCCGACTCCACCTTCACGTTCACCTACATAAAAGGACATAAAAGGTAAATATAACATAGGCAGCTATGTAAGTTACTATCAATGTAAACAACTGCTGTACACTCACATGACTGCTGGGTTTATGTCTTTAGTTGTTTGTTTATTATCAAGTATATATTATTTGTACTCTGTTTACAAAAATACATCCCGTCATCATTTTATTACCCTTGTGTTGTCCAGATCCTGACTTTGTTGTTTCTGTGGGAAACAAAAGAAGCTGTGTATCAATATCTTTTCACTTTCATTTTTTGAAAAAATAAATAAAAAATGCTATGAAAGTGAAAGGAGAGTGAAGCTGTCATCCTGCCTAAGAGGGGGGGGGGGGGGGGGGATAGGTCCCTTTAAAGGGATAGGTCACCCAAACATTTTAATTATGTCCTCAATTACTCACCCTCAAGTTGTTCCAAACCTGTTTGAGTTTCTTTCCTCTGTTGAAAAAAAAAAAAGAAGATATTTTGAAGAATGTTGGTTCAACCAGATGGTAACCACTGACTTCCATAGTATTTTTTCAGTCAATGGCTACCAACAACTGTCTGGTTTCCAACATTCTTCAAAATATCTTCTTTTGTGTTCAACAGAAGAAAGAAACTCATACAGGTTTGGAACAACTTGAGGGTTAGTAAATGATGACAGAATTAAACATTTTGGGTGAACTATCCCTTTAATAGGTGTCTCGGTCGTGATGAGCAAGGTCTAAATTGGACTGAGCATGTTGTAGTCATTTCAGTTGAGGTTCATGTATACGATATATGTTTTCTTTTCACCTTATACCCCGTCTATAAGGACAATAACCTAATTTCCATGGTCTCTGCTCACTTTTATAGTGGTCAGTAGTGCTTGTGAAATCCTGTGCATTGATAAATATGTACCAGCTTTAGAAGCATGCAGTCTCTTAGCTGCACTGTGATTAACAATAGATTGTATTTACATATAATTAATTACCCTGTACTCTGTCATTGACATATTAGACATTGACAAATCACTTTAACGGTGATGAATAGGCAACTATTTTTAGTTGCTATTCCTCATATAAAAAGAATAAACTTACTATTTTTTGCTAGAAATCAACCTGGAGCACAAAGAAACTTTCTTTTTTTGTTCACAATGCCTTTTAAAAGGAAAACACAAATAATCTGAATATACCATATTCTCATCGCTCCATTGATCATGAAGTATGTTCAAGTGTTGTTGGTTTTACATGTCACTCTCCAGGGCTCACACTTTTTTTGTGTAATGATTTAACTGAAAGTTGTGAAGATTTGGTAGATGGTCTTTGATGTCAAGTGTAAATATGGATATATTTGATATGTAGCTTGCTGTCTTTTTTGGACAACTAAATAGAAGTGATTATGTGTTGTAGAATGTCATTTTCTTAATAATCTTAACTGGTATTGACGTAAGACACTACAAGAAGTGATTGCTTTGTTTGTTTTTGAAAATGTTTTTTTGAACACAAGTTTATCTCTTTTACTTTCTTGTAGTTGAGAATCAGTTTGCGGAAGTTCATGATACTTTCAGTTAGGGGTGGTTTTGAGTTAGTCGGTGAAAGTTTGACGTCAAGTGGGCATGTTTCGTCTTACCCCCTCTAGTGTCTAATGCACAATGCACAAACATGAGAAGAACAACATTGTTCTAGTTCTTGAAAGGGCAGTCTTTCCAAGCTATTGACCTGTTTACTACAAACCCTCAACTATACCAACATATTATTTAGACTTTTCCACCAGATTGAAATGAGAGATGGACAGCAGTTTTTCTTTGGCAAAATGAGGCTTGAGTTGCAACCTCATTTAACAATGAAGTCAGGTGAGATACCAGACTGAAATTTTAGCTTGAGGCCATTTGATGAGCAATATCTCCAAAGCTACCAGACCTTGGTAGAAACGAGCACTGGTATAGTGCTTCCCTCCCTATAGTCATGCACATTTTTTGATAAATATGCTAATTAAAAAATGAGTTGTCCAGGAAAGCACTTTTGGCTCACTGAAGCATTACCAGTACCGATAAGAAGGTCCTCGAAAGATTTATGAAAGCCGAATGGATCTCGTCTTCTCAATAGTTGCCTTTAAATAAAGTCTTCATGTTTCAATAACTGTTGGTTGAAAGTGGTTGGTTGTATTATAGTTATTACTGATTTGTTATTTTTTCTTGCGTTTTACAACACCAAATGCAAATGTTTAATGCATGTACATGTATTTGTCAATTATTGAAAATATTATTTATTTTTACTACTTTTATCACATACGTTCTCCTATATTTATTTATTTGTGCACATGCAGTGAATTTGTAACACTGCTCACTGTAATCCATTTAGGTGTCCTGAATTTAAAACAGGGAGTTCCTTGTCATTTTTATGTTTGAACTTGTTTGCAAATGTCACTCTTGTTCTTAGAGGAGGTGCCTTGTATTAATAGCAGGAAATGAGCTGACAGGCTCTCTATGAAAAATCATTGCACATTGCCTTATAGAGGAAGTAGCACATTTCCTGTTTGTAGAGCTGCAACCTGCACTCAACATCTTTCACTGATGGATCCACGTTTCCTTGTAATGTAGATTTGGCCTCATATTTTGCACCTTTTTTGTATTTTCATCACAGAAAACAAGGTAGCTTTAATATCTGATATGCCAGATAACCCCGATATGTGATACAAAAAAAACTATTCAAAGATGGATATTTGCATGGCGATCACTTTTGTTTGATGTTACCAAACTACTAAATAGGTATAAGATATTTCACACGGTGAAAAGAAGAACAGACAAGCCCATAATCCCAGAGATGCAGTAGTTTCTCATGAATAATCCATCATGGCCGAGATCAACACAAATTATGTTTGAATTTCATCATCTTGGTATAACTGAATTTGCATAATTACCACGAGGGCTAAATTGTGACAAGCCCTAATTCAAACAAATGTTGTTGCATTAGATGCGGATACTGGCTGACCACTGGAAATAAACTTTGAGTGATTTGGCATACTACATCAAAAAGATATAAACCATTAATTCAGGGAGTAGACGAGGAAGTTCATTAATATTTTGAGATCTGACTAACATGGTGTTCTGTATTGCAGAAAGTGAAAGCATCAAAAGCAGAAATAGTTTGCCATGCTCACACTACGTTGGGTTTTTGTAACGGTTTTTATGCCAGTTTAAGGTTGTATAAACCACAGCATGTCTAAGTGCAGACTTCACTTCACAGTTACAAACTAAACCAGATACGTTAATATTTGCTTACAAAATGTCTGTGTGGGTGTTTATGTATATAAGGTCAACCATATATAATACATAGACTATATAAGAGGTAGCCTAGGTGCTAATGTGGGTATAGTAGTACTAAAGAGTTGAATTAAATTGTATGCAACTGATGCTTACATGCTGCTCTCTACCATTAGCTGCCCAACTTTTGGCTTTATTTCTTTATTCTTTATTTCTTCTAGGCTACTGGTGACAACTTTGAATTGTATGTCAACAGGACAATTATAGCATCATGCTGAACCCTGATTTTATTACAGATATGTCTAGTTGCAGTTATTATCTTGTGGCAGTACTTGCATATGATCTCTATGCAAACCACAAGGGAACGTGTGACAGGCAGTTGAAAAATGATTATAGATGCACTGCTGAGACCTGCCCATTGGGTTTTGCTCTCCTATGTTGGGCCATCCACATGTAGAGGTTGTTTGCTTTCACTGAAGTCAATCATGCATTTCATATACACAGTAATGCTTTGTTTCTCTCTTGGAGAACAAGTTTCAGGTGTAGAAGCTTCTGTCTTAGCATGTGACCCCATTTGTCAGCGATTTATAACGCTGTTCTTTCATCTTTCTTTACCCCAGAATCAAGCCAACCAGGGCAGGAGATACCAGATGCTAGCTGTAACCTAATTACTTTGTCATTTTGGATTTCGATAATTGGTGGTCTTTTCCCTGAAAATCTGTACATTTGACATTAGAAATGGACACTTACTACCTTAAAGCACTATTTGGACCCTTAAAAATTTCATTGGTGTAACCCAAAGTACTTAGGTTGTTTCCTACCTTGGCTCATTGGAAAAACGTGCCTCTACCTACAGTACATGTTTGCAGAACTCCAAAAACATACCTATTACAAACAATTCACTGCAGTTTCTAGCTGAAATAAACACCAGTGGCAATAAAACACCAACAACTTTTGTCACTTTTCAAAAAATTATGATAACCGGGGGCGGGGCAGATTATCGATTCATAAAGACTTATTTTTGCATGGTTACTTGCACAATACTATGTTGTGACCTCAAAACACTTTTAACATAGTGCATTAATTGTAAACTAATACAAAAAAAAATCATGTTTGGTCCATATGGAAAAAACAATTTTTTTAACTGCCGCAATGCATACAACAATGAAGATTCACGTTCATCTGTTTCGGATAAAACTGAACACCCCTTTAGCGCAATTCACTGGACATACAGACATTTCTTTTTGCATAGTCATTGGCATTTTGCAGATGGTTGGTTTCTGCTTGAGAAAAATTTGTTCATGTGAAAAAAAATGCATCATGCATAACAAAATCCAAGTCATTTTTAAACAATACCAGGTGTCATTGTGAATAATGCTTTCTGTGAGTGGCATCATCCTGTGTGAGACCCCAGGAGGGGTTTCACTTCCTCTGAATCAATCTCTCTTCTCAGTGTTGTCATCACAAAATCCCTTATGGGCTAGTACCGCTTTCTGTGCCAGTAGTAGTCAGAATCTACATACAGTATGGTTGTGTGTTTTTTTTAAATTAAGTTATTTACCATGATTTTTAATGGTATGTATAAGGTCATTGACTCCATTAATTCCTTAATATATTTTCTCACATTGTGCAATGGGGCGAAAAAACATAAGCACATAAAGGTCAGCTGCATATTATATTTTCACAGTTGCCAGATCAGCCTATATATATCGAAGTAATTAATATGATTTTGGTAGTTTCAGGCTGATCACTATAAGGCTTTTTAGCAAGTCACTTTATCTCCACATTAATTCAAGGTACTTCACAGGAGACAGTGTACTGTTGTCAACGCTGTTCTTTGCAACCTTTTTTACTTGATTGCGTGAAATGGAGACTACACTTTCCTTAATTACCTCTTACTTAAGTGTTTAGATTAGCTGTATTCAAGACATGTGGGCAGCACCCTTCTGGGAAGTGATAGTCTCATCGTTTGCAAAATCTCTTTTGTCACGTGGAATTTATATATTCCATCTGCTCATTTCTGTCAGGCACCTTTGTGTAACTGTGAGAGGATTTTTTTTTGCCTTTTTTTAAAATTGCAGTTTTTCTTCTATTTAAAGTTTCCGGTGTCAACACTAGATGGGTTTTCTGTCTTCACATTACATTTCTGCACTGCACCAAAACATATATATATATATATATATATTTTGTAGCTGACCATTTATTTAAATATTTTTTCATAAGCCTTTATGTGAACAGTATAGATTGTGAGCTATCATGTAGACGGGGGTATTAGATTTGGGTTTCTGTGAGCGATGGACAGTTGCAGTGGGATCCCAACATTTCGTAAAATTTTAAAGCTTGTGGAGTTCATGCAGGTTGAGTGCTGCTGTCATTAAAGCAAAAGAGGGATGAAATTATGGTCCATTGTCTATTTGTCAACAGTGTAGTCTTGTACGTATAAAACACTGCTCATACAGAAGTCACTTTCATACCAAGCAGCATTCTATTGGAGAACACCGCAAATCCTCATGACAAACTTAGACCCTTTGCAAAACCTGTGTGGGGATATTTTTCGTCCTCGCGTGAAATTCCCATTGGTGTAGATTTCGCCTGTTAAAATTGTATGGTAAATGTATATTAATTTTACATGCTAATAATATAATTTGTAACAAAACAATTTAGATAGAAAATAGAAAGTGCCCAAAATTAGCATTTTCGCTGGAGGTCTCCAATGATTTTTTGACTATAAAAAATAAGAAGTGTTTGGTCAGACTTTGTACTTTTCAGTTATTTGCAGAGTCTGTGGCAGTATTGCTGAGTCAGGTACAATAAATGAAATGATGACTTTAGATCAAAACGGGTGCAAAAAAAGAACAAAAAACATCTGGTCTTAAGTGTACTAGTGTAGCTCCAGTAGGTGTCTGTCACAATATGTGTCAACTTAATATTCAAACTGTTTCTGCATGTGTTGATTCAGTGTGATGTGTCAGCTACCATATGGTATGTGCATGAATGTGTCTGAGAACCAGTATAAATCCTGTCTAATGTTAATTTCTTTTTTTTTTTTTTTTGCAGGGTGTCCTACTCCATTCATGTCTCTGATGATTATCCAGGTATTGCACAAACAAAGTAGGCTAATGGATTATTTGATAAATGGATAAATGATACCCCCAAACTCTCACCAGTGATCCCATACCATTTAGATAGAGTGATTTTATTTCTGTTACAATAAGGACCTATTACTAACACTAACATCATAACACAATAATAAACACTATTACTACTGCTTGCTTGGGATTTTGAAAAATTCCTAACCCTAGGGATATTCAAATTTGCCTTGTAACTCCAAAGGACAAATGATTCTTCAAATTGGGCAGATTGTTCCAAGAAATGCCATAGACTTTCAATTAAGGATGGATCTAGGGACCAGAATATCATAGGCCCTGTTTACACCTGGTATTAAGATGCGTTTTGTTAGATCGGATCAAAAGTAGATATAGATGAGGCAGACACATACGCGTTTACACCTGGTGTTTTAATCAGTCTCCTTTGTCCACTTTCAACCACTTCTGTCCTGATTTCCTCGAGGGGAGGTTCTATGGGTCGGTAAATGTATGGGCTTTTTCAGATCTTTCGACCTAATGGACGAAATAAGCTTGAGCAGTTTACATATGAACGCGACTGGAGACGACGGAAAAACATACAGAGAGCAGCTTTCGTTTCTGCTCTAATTTCCGCAAAGATCATGACGAATGCTGTGAGTGCGTTAGAATCAGGAATGGTGTGAGAATATTGTGCTTGGTATATTTTTCATCTTCAAACCAAACTTGACAAAGTTTAAATCCCGTCTGACTTGCATGTTTCACATAATGTTTATGCAGTCTTTTGTGGCTGTTGGAATGCGTTTTCGACTACTCTAGAAGTGGTCGAAAGTGGACAAGCTCAAAACGTTTTAGACCCCGTTTACATTTGTATTTAGCTTTGTCCACTTGTGATCCGATCAACCAAAATGCATGTAATACCATGTGTAGACTGGACAATAGAGACTTGTGGGTAGACTCTATTTGGACCAGTGTGGAACCATTCAGGATACCCTAATAGAACATTATAACAACACTCTGCCAAGCACCCACAACACTGTGACAGTCCTCTTTTCTGTTAAAATATTAAAAAATTAGTTCAAAATGTCATTTACTCAGTATATAACTGGTCTGATAGGAAAGATGACACTGGATCTACTCTGTACTGGGAACTGATACCAATGATAAAAATAGACCAGCTGAACTGCATCATTCTCAGCTTCAGTGTGATAAGTGCTCTACCGCAGCTGCTTTATACTCCTAAGACTTTTCCCATTGTCTCTTTTCCATCACATAATTATAATGGCACGGTACATTCAAGTGAGCAACAGTGTTTGTTTTCATTATCTTATCAGCCATAATGACACAGCACAATGTTAAAGCTCAGTGGGTTTTATGGGTATAGTGATTACACTCGATTTTTACTTTTAGGTAGATGGTTTTGAGCAGTTGCCTAGTGCAATCTATGTTCAGTTTGACTTAGCCTAGTAATTTCATTTGGTTGTGAAGCTGTGGCATTGCTCTAAGTCTAAGATTGACATTTGATGTTTTGATACAAAACACAAGAGTTGTCCCCAAAATCTGAAGCCTAAAAGATGCAGACCTCCCTTTTTGAAGGACTTAGTCTAGCCTGATTCACAGCATAGTGGCAGAGAGTCAGCTTTGCATAAGAATGAGGAATTTGCTTGGCACAATTTTAGGTAACATTGCCAAAAATCCCATGGAAAGTGTTAACCTGAAAATAGTGGATTGTCCAGAAACTGTAGAATAAGCACAGCTCAATTCACTCTCATTTGGAGCTTTTCTATTAATTATGTATAAGCTGCAGTTTGGGTTTTGTTACCACTCATTGGTAGGTTGATTACATTGTTTGTTCTACTTCAGGTCTTTGCATTAGTTATTACATTAACTAATGTTAACAAATGAAACTTTATTGTAAAGTGTTACCCACCTGTTTGTCTTTGTCATTTCAGATAACACATATGTGTCTAACTCTGAAAACGAGGATGAAGTGTTAGTCACCAGGGATCCAATACCAGTAATTTTCAATAGAATTGCAACAGGTAAGATACCTTATCATCTAATAGGGAATCATAAAACAGCTGCAGCTACAGAAAACCAATGAAAAAGTTGAACAAACAGACATTTTAAAGACACACCTAAGGGGAAAGGAAACCAGGAGCCTTCTAGATTCAGAGTGTACTTCACAGAAATATTTCAGTGGTTTTCAACTTTTGGCTGAATATTTTTGCTCCAACCCTGAACTAGCACCCATGCCATAATTCCACCACCTACTACATGATCAGATTTTTTGGAGTTACCTCAGAGTTTGATCCTTTATGTCTGCCAATAATGAAGGTCAGTAGACCGATCATTACAAAAAAAGTACTGTGGCAGTAGCATAGTACAGTGATCGTGTCAGATGGTAGCACCATGATACTTTGATAATATAGTACTGCATGATCACCATATGGGATTTACATTGGACTCAAAGCCACCTCAAATATAGCCATGGTATACACTAACACTACCGTTCAAAAGTGTGGGGTCTGTATAATTTTATGTTTTTGAAAGAAGTTTCTGATGCTCATGCTGCATGTATTTGCATGTATTGTATTTTGATAAGACATATAGTAAACAGTAATATTTTGTATTATTACTGTTATAAAACAGTAATAAAATGAAATATATTACATATTAAAATAGCTGTTTTTAACAGTTTTAATCTCCTATTTTTAATAATTTAATGCTTCCTTGCTGAATATATTATTGACAGTATTTATAAAAAAAAAAAACTTAACTCTAAACTGTTGAACATAGTATATGTCCAAAAAAAAAAAAACCTTTGTAATGCAGTGGAAATTGTTTTTTTTTTTAGGATAATCATCCTATTATTGCTGTATTCACATAGTGTTAGCCAGTCCCTCTCTGTTTTTAGAGCTCTTTGATTACACTGGCAGTAATCCTGGAAATAAATTATCTGGAGTTGTACTGCATGTCTTCTGCTCCTATTTTTAGGACCGACCAAGACATATGTGCCAAAACAAAGTGGCAAAACAGCAGCGATCCTCACTGATTTCCTCCAGCAGTTAGTTAGATGCTTAATCGAAGCTTATCCTGCACACCTAATATTTTTCCAGTCCAAAAGTTGAAGTCTTGCCATCTTCTGACACAGTACATTACAACTAATGAGCCTGTACATTCTGCTGATCTCTGCACACTTTGTCAGTTTTAAAATGTTTTCTGACTCTGCATAAACAATACGTTTTTACTCAGTCATAAAGAAATTCAAGTACCCCTACAGTGGTCAAGACCTCACGGTTGTCTTAACAGTATGTTAACAGTATTTTAGGCAGTATGTTATCCCAGCTTTTGCAGATTTGTGATTCTGAGCAGTGATACTTCTAAAATCGTAGGTTTTGTGGTTTGGAATTGTAGTGGAATTAACAAAAACAACTACCCTTGTAGTAAGATCTACAGTCATTTAGTTGAAACTATTGTTTTGCTGTCACCATGCACATCATATGATCTGCACAAAACGGGTTAGGAAGTTAGATGAGTGTGCTGGTTGGATATTCTGGACATGATCAGGCCTGTCACAGAAATTATGCCATTAATGGTCTTTTTCATAAAAACTGAATATTGTTTATTGTTCCATCTGACATTCTTAGTTCACAATATCATGTCATACTCACACATCTGTGCATTTACTTTAGAAATACGCATAAATAATGAGGGCACCAGCTGTCTGTCTATTAAATCAAAACTTCAAACTGAAAAAAACTCGGTAAGACTGTATTTTTTTTTTTTTACCTTTATTATAAAATATTTTTTAATTCCAGGAACAACAATGAATCGCTTGTTTTGTGACTAATGCTTTTTGAAATCTCTCCAGTGCCATTATGCTATAGAGGAGGATTCAGAGGGTGACAATGATTCTGAGGAGTTCTACTATGTTGGACAGGTAAGTTCAGCTGAGTCACTCACTACATTTATGTACATAACATTTCTATCTGTGTATTATGTGTGGTCTTATCCACTAACCACCCACAATTCAGCTTTGCCATCTCAGGAATCTCAGGAATAAATTACTTTATTATTATTATTTTTTCCAAATATATTTATGGGGGGGGGGGGGGGGGGGGTAATCAAAGGTAAAAAAGGTAATCAAGGTAAATAAATATATGTAAATATAAGGTAATCAAGTAAAAGTAATGATATAAAAACATGAAATCTATAACTGCAGTACATTACAATTTCAAAACCATTATGTACTCACTTAAGGCACATCAATGGAATATCCCTTCCACAGAATAGTTGACAATTCAGTCCCTAGATTATTGATATAGGGCTTCCGGACACTATAAAACTGGTTTGGCTGACCATTAACTAGACGAGTTAAATATTCCAGCAGAATTAGATCAAAATCTTGTGCCAACCTGATATAGTCGGAGTCTTGTCACTTATCCACCTCAGTAATATGTTTTAGCTGCAAAAGTAAGAAGATTATACAGTGTTTTTTTCTTTTGGTAAAATCAAAGCTGTATCGGGCTCACCAAGGATCAAAAATAAAGGACGCATTACCAACTCCTTATCAAAGATATTACTCATTTCAGAAACTGTCTTGGCCCAATATATTTGTAACTGATAGCATGACCAAAGACAGCGAGAGAGAGAGAGTACCGATTTGTGTTTTGCACTTAAGGCATAGAGGTGAAAGGGTATTGTTAATGCGTGTCTACGGTTTGGTAAAATATGCATCCCATGGACAGTTTTGAACTGTATAGCCTTGGCACGATTACATACCGAAATAGAATTAACATATTTCCAAATATTTCAAAATGATTGTTCAAGATCTGGCCATGTAGAAGAGTTATCAAGAGCAACCCAATCACAAACATATCTTAGATGTGCAGACCAATGGTATAGCTTAATATTAGGCAAATCCAGTCCTCCCATCGACCCTGGTAGTTGTAGTGCAGAGAATTTCAGCCTTGGTTTGCTCCTGCTCGAGATAAAGGAACTGGACCAGTTACATTTTTATAAAATATTAAAATAGAATATTAATTCTATTCTAATTGTATATTAGTTATTTTAAATTGTAATAATATTTTAAAAGGCAACATTTCAGAGTAAATTTTTAAATTTTAGAGTTGGAGATAAACAAGGTCCTGTTTCCCATGTGAACCTCAACTTCATGTGGTCACTGCAACTAAAGTTCCTGAGGTCTTACAGCTTTAAAACGAGCTTCAAACCTGCAGCACCTGGGGCTTAAGACTTTTCATTTCATGGTAAATTTACTTAAAGTAGTTTGCAGCTCATATAAAAAACTTTTTGACTCTCTTTAACTGTTAATGATTAGTCCCTCACTTTTCTGAGAATGTTTCCATCATGAGAATGAATGTTAGTTTGCACACACAGCTTGTGCTTAAATTAATCATGTGACCAATGACCATCCACTGGAGCAAATCCATAAAGCTGGAGTCAGTGAGTGAGTGAGCTTTGTGCCCTGTGAGGACCAGTCCGGACTCCGGAGGTGATGAAGATTCATGAACTAATGCCTGTGTCGGGCAGTGAATGCTCGCTGGCTCTTGCTCACTGTAATGAGGCAATTTTTCAATCCTTTGCTGTTCTGATGATCTCAAAGCCTTCGGGAGACTCTTCCATGCCACATGCTGGCATATTCTCTCTGAACTTCAGAATTTTTTTGATCTCTGTTGTGCAGAATATCTAAAAAGACTAAACGTCATTAATCATTTATATCCACCAAACTAAAGCATGATCAATGTACATAATATTGGCCATATTTCTTTAATTTTTATGTAAAGACCCATATATTTCAGACTTAATAATGGCAGGTTTCCCTACAGAATTTACCTTTGTCTTCCATTGGTTGGACAAACAGATAGTCCCGCCCCCAATCTCACACCATTGGTTGAGTTGGTGTTACTGTGATGGGCAAGTCGATGCTCAAACAAGCAGATCAATACTTTTTAGATATTCAAAGAAAACAAATAAAAAATTCTCCACTTTTAAGATACTTAGTAGTTAAGGGCAGCTATTCTAAACCTGTCATTCATATATTGCCTGGTCAGAATCACATTTTCTTTCACAAAAATCCAGACTGTTGATTTACTGTAGGACACAGTCTAAAGAGGCTGATCTTATACTTGAGTAATCTAAGTGTATGATGTGTATTGATTGTTAAGAGAGTGCAGAGCCACAGTCATCAACAGTGATTGATGTCTAGAAGCTTGTTTGAAGTGTTCTGGATCTTATACTGATTAAACACTCAAGGTAGAAACAATCATGAGCGGTGAAGTGCTGTTTATTAATTTTTTAATAAATACTCAGGTGCACCTGTCTGTAACCCTGGGCTCTGTGTATCACCCTTTGACCTGTGTGTTTATGTGGGCAGGTAAATTATGATGGAGAGCTTCACAAACACCCCCAGCTGGAGGCTGATTTGGCAGCCGTGAGGGACTTATATGGCCATCATGCAGTATCTCTCAGGTAACTGGCCATTATTTTTTTCTTGATGTTGATGTGAGGACTTAAAACTTTTGCAAATTAAACTTGGGGGTAAAAAAAAAAATCTATGTAAAGTAGCATTATGTCAGTAATGCAAACATGTCATCAGCTCAGAAAAAAAGTATTGGAATTGAGACTTCCTTCCTGAACTCTCCTCCGCCACCAGAGAAGTGTTTTATGGGAAACGACACCTTGAGCAATCGTTCTTTAGTTTTCTGGCACAGTTAACCCACTCAAGGACGTCCTCTGCCTGAGCCAGGTCCCATAACCCTCAGGTGGCCATGTCTCCAATCTGTCATTTGGGGAAATGCTCTGTGATCAACTGAAGGACGGTCTGTGAGAGTCTGAGTGGATTCTGTTTGATTACAGGGCTGTAATGATGTAATTATTGCTGTTGTGTTTATCCTGACGTAGAGGCTTGCTATTACCTAATCTGCTCTGCAAGCAGCAAATTTATACCAAGATATAACACATTTGAAACTGGTGCTGTTACGAATGCTGTGGACAACAGCAAAGCATGTACATGCTCGTGTTTGTGCTTAATAACTCGGATGAAAAAAGAACTCATGACAGATTGTCAACACGAACGTGATTCACCCCACAAAATCTGCCAATCTGAATGGTGTTTCATGCAGCGACAGCTATTAAAAGCTTCGTCCTTGAAAGTTTATCTTGTCAAGCTGCTTTTGATAACAGCAGACCGTTAAATGAAAGAACAGCATAAAAGACTCTATTCATAGCAGCAGAAGTGTGCGTTTTATATCCTGTCTAGTGTGTGATCCTTGGGATGCATTTGCCCTGAGTCATGGACAGAAAACCATTTTGAGTATTTATTCAGTGTTCTGCTTGAAAAATGACCTGGGTCGTTTTTGCCGCAGTCTCTATGAGTGGGTTCAGTGAGGCCCCTTTTAATAATTCCAGGACACATCCCACTAAATGTTTTTGCCTATTCGTTGAAGTACAATTAATTGAAAACGCAAAACTGCTTTTATGGTCGTGTTACGTGTAACACGTGTTTGGTAAAACACTTCTTAAATGATTCCTTAAAGTTGCTCTGAATTTCTTTTACCTTAGTAATGCGTAATTTTGTGTGTTTACATGTGTCTGAACATGAGTGTGTGTTTGCTGTATGCTATGCAAGCTGTTGCATAGACAGATCATCAAAGAGGATTATTATTTTCCCAAACCTCTTGCTTTTGAGGCACAGCGGCTGCATTTGGGAGTGAGGTGTAACCATGGTAACAGTTAGCCCAGAGCAATGCTACAAACTCATCACAATGGTTTTATGAGAAATAAATACTTTGAGAGAAGCGCAGCAGCAGAGCTGGAGCATCAAGCTGCATCCCTTCAACATCAAGTGTACCTGCGTACTCATTTAAGAAATAAATTCATTTGGTTTTATATCTTATTCTGCAATCTTTCTTAATAAATCTTTTTCTAACATTAAATACAATTTTTATAAACGATAACAAAATGCTTTATTCCCAAGAAAACTAAGTTATTTTTAATAAAATGTAATTACTTGCTCTTCATCTGAGATGACTTTCCTTTTTCCACTTACGTCACAGGGTATTGGATGATGACCAGTAGCCAAATTGCTTAGAAATTGTGTTAGAAAATTTGCATTCAACCTCCTTGATAAAAAACAGTCATGTCTTATTTTGCTTTCTTTGTCCCAACCTATTTCAAATAGTGTGCAAATGACAGTTTGTGTCAATTTTCCAGCAAAATGATTTGTAAGCCATCTGTATAAACAAAGAGAACTGTTTCATCATGTCTAAATATGTTGTGAATTTCCTTCAAATCCCTAAAAGCTTTGTCATCAACATATTTGGCTGAGTGATATGTTCTTGTAATTTTCTAGTCTTAATGAATATGTACTATAAAAGCTGCTGTAAACAAAGATTATAATCTCACTTGCAGAAATTAATTAGGAATTGTATTTCTTCCCCTTCAAAATATAGGGAATATGGTGCAATTGATGATGTGGACATCGACCTACACATTGATGTCACTTTCCTCGATGTAAGTGTTATTGTTCAGTGTCTTGTTAAAGATGAATGACGATGAGCATATAGTTTTTATTTATATATTTATTTTTGTGTGTGTCTGTTATACTATGTGAAACTGAAATGCAGCATTTGTTCATAGGAGGAGATTGCACTTGCCTGGGATGTGATCCGGAGTGAACCTGTTATTGTACGGCTTCACTGCTCCCTCACACAATATCTGAATGGACCAGGTTAGAAACACACACACACACACACACACACACACACACACACACACACACACACACACACACACACACACACACACACACGCACACACACCGAGTTGGGCACAGTTGGACTCTTCAATGCTTTTTATACTGTGCAAACTTCACATTCTATTCCCAATCCTACCTCTAAACCTAACCCTTTTCAAAAACAAAACAAAAACATAATTTAGTTTGATAATGTATGGAAATACTGGAACTGTAACGATCACCAGCTGCAGTGCCCTCGAGAGCCACCAGAGGGTGCTCCACAATAGACTATGATCACTTCCTCACAAACTACATTTCCCATAACTCACTGCCCGGATTCATCAGCACTCATTTCATTCACCTGTGTCTTATCACCTTGTTTCTCTCACACCATAAATACCTGGTTTTCACATTCAAGTATTGCTTTCCCAGTGAACTATTCTGAGCGTTTGTACCCTGTGTTTGTTTACCTGTTACGACTTTATCTGGACTTTACCTCTCGTTGTCGGCTACCTGCCTGCCTCCCTTACTCTCTGCATGAACTCTGTACTCTGATTGTTTCACCGCCTGCCCCGACCCTTTGCCTGTTCTTGGACTCTGATTGTGTGTATCCTGCTCTGCTTATATCGCTGGTATTCGACCCTTGCCTGTCTGACCCTGTTATTTAATAAAGCCTGCAAATGGATCTCTCCTCGTCCGCTGCATCATTACAGGAACATATACACAAAAAAAGCAAACAAACTTTGTTATAGAATTATCTTATAAACATCTGCTGCTTTGATTCCCAACCAGGGGAACTTAGATTTAGATGTAACATAGTTAAACTTATAAAACAGAAGTCATGGTTTATAAAATAAAAATATGCCGTTAAAAATTAGAATGAGTTAAAATAATTAATCTTGAGTTTGTTTTTTTGTTATTAATAGGATAGCACATTCAGTTACTGTACTTATTAAAGAAGAAAATGTTTGTACTTTTTTCAATTTGTGTGAATTACATTATATTTGCACATATATATAGAAAGACACCAAATAGAGGTAGATTTTTGGCAACAGTGATCAGACTTTGACATTTCAAAACTTTTTTCTATTTGGATATTCCTTATTCTATAAAGAAAATAAAGGGGTACTTGAGCCTTACAGATGGGGCTGGGAGGGTAAAGAAATGTTGAGAAACATTTAATTGAATTTACCCTAACCATAAATGCATTAAACTACTCTTTAAGAAGATCATGCAAATCATTGTGCTGTTAACAACATTAGACAAGTTTGTTTGTTTGACTTTATTGTCTGTTCAGATTTCCTGGACAGAAATTAATCTTTGACACTTGCATAAATAAATACATCTTATCAGACAATACTGTACATCCATTTACATACCACATAACAAAGCTCATGGAACACACATTTGTCCCCATTAAAAACATGCATAAAACGAGTATATAAATATATAAAAGTAAATAGTACCTCAATTAAAGGTGCTCTAAGCGATGTCACGCGTTTTTTAGGGCAAAAATTTTTTTGTCACATACAGCAAACATCTCCTCACTAACCGCTGGCTGCCTGTCCCCTGAACACACTGTAAAGAAACGCGATCTCTGTAGACAGCCCAGGCTCCACAAACAGCAACAAAAGCAAACTGCAGCGACCCGCTCCCTGAAACATAATAAACTATTCCAGCCAATGACCGACAAGAAGGGTTTGGGGGTGTGGTTTGGGGGGTTAGTGTGCGGATGAGGAGGAGGGAGGGTCTAGCTAGCCTCCGTTTTGTTTGACAATAGTTCGAACGTCAACAAGAAGTGACGTCACCCAGGATCGCTTAGAGAACCTTTAAGAATTTGGTTAAAAACCGTCACCGCCAATGGAACAAATGATCATTTATACAGCCAGCAGCCATGTCACCCTGTAGCCCAAGACTGGTTGCCCACTGAAGCTAAGCAGGGTTTAGCCTGGTTAGTACCTGGATGGGAGACCTTCTGGGAAATCCAGGTTGCTGCTGGAAGAGGTGTTAGTGAGGCCAGCAGGGGGTGCTCACCGTGTGGTCTGTGTGGGTCCTCCTAGCGCCCCAGTGTAGTGACGGGGACACTATACTGTCAAAGAGCACCATCCTTCAGATGAGACGTTAAACCGAGGTCCTGACTCTCTGTGGTCACAAAAAAATCCCAGAATGTCTTTCGAAAGAGTAGGGGTGTAAACCCGGCATCCTGGCCAAAATCATGGCCTCCTAATCATCCCCATATACTAATTGGCTTCATCACAGTCTCCTCTCCACCAGTAAGCTGGTGTGTGGTGGGCGTTCTGGCACAATATGGCTGCCGTCGCATCATCCAGGTGGATGCTGCACATTGGTGGTGGTTGAGGAGATTCCCCCCTTCTATGTAAAGCGCTTTGAGTGCCGAGAAAAGCGCTTTATAAATGTAATGAATTAATTATTATTATTATATATGTTCTTTTTAGCCAGTGGTATAAGCAGCCTGCTCCCTTCAAAACAGGAGTGGAGTTGATAGGTTTGGTCTGAATATACTGCAATTGCCTTTTTTTCCATAAAGTGTGAAAACAGCTCTTGCAATGCACTTTGTTTCTGGCCGGTGATCTTATTTGCTTCGTAAATTACTTGTATTCATTTATTTTTCTGTCTCATTGCTAAATTGCCATATCACGAAACAATGTTATATGTTAAAATACTTTCGATCATCGAACCAAACAATGGTTAGAACCCTCCTATCGTTACTAAAATGTCTTCATTTTCTGTGTAGACTTATGTACATGGTCCACATTTTCCTGGAATGAGAATTTGTCATTAATTTTGTAGCTAAATATTTCAAATTTGAAACTTGCTCTACCTTTACACCTTGTATAATAACTTGTTCATATAAAATGCTAGCCTTACCTGTCCTATTTTGATTCCCACAGCATAATTCCTTTGTCTTCTCAATGTTCACTTGTAGATGACTGTTATCAAACCATTGTAAAAGACCTTTAATATACTCGAACACGTGTGTCCGTTTGGCAAGAAATTAAAACCAAGTCATCAGCTTATTTGATTGAAGTGAGATCGTCCTTGTTACATTGAAGTTCATTCATAAACAAAGAAAAGCAGAGGTGATAATACACATCCCTGTGGTAAGCCTGCATTTAAGACTACAATCACATGAGACTTGTTTGGCACACTTACCTTGTTAGATGGGGTTTCTGTTGTTTCTTTTGCATAAATACTATGTGAATTGTTCATGTTGGTGAGAGTGTGTGCCCTTACACCGAGCTGTCTCTGTTGATTGTAGAGTTGTTTAAAATTGCTTGACTCAAGAACATGGCTACTTCAGTTCAGACTGCAAGAGAAAGAGAGAAAAGTTACTTGGACATGGCTGTAATGCCTGCTCTTGTTCTCCTGCCAAGATATTACTCATCATAAGTGGCTCATTTCAGAGTGACCTTCTGTTCCAGTGTTTTTTAAAAACCTCTCAAATGCTTTGATGGCTAAATCAAACGTCTGTAGCAAACTTATGTGGTACTTTGTTTTGCAATACCATCTTTTTTTCTCATGGAGAATTTCATGTCCCCTTTCCAGTTCCCACTGTTGATGTGTTTCAAGTGTCTTCAAAAGACAGATTTGGACTTGGACATCAGTTGAAAAAGTAAGAAAATACTAGATTTTTTTTAGTGTTATATCAGGTTTTAGGTCCGTTTAACTTCATTAGTGTGCTTTCTCTTGGCAGAATAATGCAAACCTTTGTCACACAGCAGTGGAAGTGTCAGAGCAAAGATAAACTCATCAACCCACACGGCAAAAAGCTAACAGAGAAGAAGGTGAAGTCTCCCCTGCACATTTTTTCAACGCTACGCAGGTAAGAAAAAAAAAAGTCACTCAGCTACACCGATACTGGACAATCCAGAGTTTATTATCCCTCTTTGAAGCGCTTTTAAACCCAGGACTAAAGGCCTGTTCACCAAGAAAATTTGTTGGTTCTGGTGAACAATATTTAATTAACCTCACACAGTAAAGCGCTCATGTTTACAGCTCAAAATCTCTCTCTAGAACTTTTCTGTTCTTAAGTATTGATGTAATCGCTTTGTACATGCCATTACTTTGCCATCACAGAAAAGTTTTTAAATATTGAATCAAAAATCAAATTAGTATTATTTTTATTGCTAACATGAGACAGCTTTGCCTTTAACCTTACTCTCAAACTTATCTGTGTACTGTTCTGTTTGACCATGCTTCTACTGTAATGAAATATTAGAAAAATATGTGCCTTGCAAAAAGTAATTGTAATATGAATATAAGACTTATTTTTAAATAACCCTCAATGGAGAAATATGTTTTTGCCCTCTGTTGTACTGGAGAAAATGTGTTTGCCAATCAGCAATTCACTATTGTGAATCTGGTAAACATTTATCCATATATTTAGGCTGCATTTATGTATTCAGGACCAGCATTTACTTTTATGCCAGCAAGTGTGTTAGCTTCATGATCTTTGAGTTCATCAGACCAGCTTGAGTCTGAGAAAAAATGGTTAATGAATGGTTATCAAAGTGTAGGAACAGTTCACACAAAAATTTTTCATTGAACTGGACTGTAATGTTGAGAAAATTGATATTGAGAATGTGGCAATGGATTTGCAAATTTTGCTTGTCATAAAGAGGATATCTTACCTGAATGTCTTACTACTTGTGGATTTTTTTATGAATAATAAAATGAAACCGAAATGAAAATCAAGATGATGCAGAAAACTATAAAGCAATTTGTCAGCATTGCCTAATTCTTTGTATCTCATTAACTGAGGCATGACCTACTATAGTTCATTAGCGGAAGAAATGCGCATTCCCGAACTATGCAGACCTCAACATGAAAAATAAACTTGGTGTGAATCAGCCAATAAAGCATTCTGAAATGTGCAGGATTTGCACAAGCATAATTGCACAACATCTTTTTTGTTCCATAATTCCCGTAGTGTGATTAATGTGCTGTGCTTGTGCAAACTCAGATCCCCCAGCTACCCTCCTCCTGGCTGTGTGAAGAGCAAAAAGAAGCTCAAACCCGAGCAGGATGGCGTGTCAAAATCCCACCGTCTGTTACGGCGAACATGCTCCAGCACAGTGAAGCCAGAAATGGACGGCTGTGTCGGCAAGTCGCACAAGCTTTTGGGTCACTCCCTTTCCAGTGACCCGCGGATGGAGCAACATCAGCCCCTCAAGCAGCCCCACCGGCTGCTGCCAAGGCCCTGCTCGACCGCTGCGAAACCAGAGGACTGCCCGTCACTGCGGCCTCATAAACTGTCGCCGCGGTCGAGCGTGGCCGAACCTCGCTGCGAACATGCTGCTGGCAGTAGCGATGGCGGTGCTTTAAAGCCTCACCGGCTCCTGGGCCGCTCCTGCTCGGGCAGTGTGCGGACTGAAGAGCTGGACGGCCTGAAGCACCACCACCGTCTGCTCAGCAGGTCCTACTCCAGCAGCACCAAGATGGGCGACAAGAAAAGCGACATCTTTAAAGAGCCTGTCACCGAGAGCAGACGCCTCTCCCTTACCTCAGGGCTAATCGGCATCCTGGCCCCATCACTATCTTCCACACCTCAGGTAATGATGCTTGGGATTGCGTCTTATGAACATACTTCCTTGAGGTTACATATTTAGGATTTGCCTAATTTGATTGCCTGTTCAGTTCGGCTTTGGTCAGAGATACGAGAGTGTTTTGGAAATGAAAGAATTATTTAACAGAATTTATATACAGCAAAAATAAGAGTGAACACAAATTCACAGAGAATTGCTCCGACCAGGCAGAGATGAGTGAATTTAACAGGCCAAGGAGAGAGAGATCTATAAAAAATAAAATCTTGCAGAGAGATCAATTTAATAGTTGAGACATTTTGTCCCACAATGTAATGTTTGACTTGAGGCAGTGAAAACAACTTTGTCTATTTAGTTAACAAAATTTAGAGAGACTTCAAACAATTTTTTCTGTGTCTTCTTGAGTAGCCAAACAACGGAGCCAAATCCATTCCAGTCAGAGACAGAGGCTTCCTTGTTCAGGTAAAAATAAATATCTTCACTTCCCCCTTTGCCTTATTTCATTGATCAAACAGTATTTTACAGTCTAACAGTCTTTTACTTGCAAATATATTCAACATCCTCTTTCCGAAGCAACCTGAGCTTGAGGGCATGTGGTTGGTTGCAGTAGTTGACATTTTCTAGTCATTGGTATTCTTGTGAACAAGACTGAATCTGCAACAAACATTGTTTCGTCAAGTCATTCCAAATGTTCCAAACATGATGAAAATATTTTAGTTTTGGATGAACTGTCCTGCTTGTTTTAAGGTTTGGGTAGAGCTCTTGTGGTAGCCTCTAATGCTGTCATACTGTTATAGAGGAGGAGGCAAATGTTACTGAATGGTTGCTACATGTGTTTACTTGACTTATAATTGCAGACTATGGAGTATGCAGAACAGCGTATCCCTGTACTGAATGAGTTCTGTGTGGTCTGCGATGAACCTCATGTGTTCCAAAATGGACCAATGCTCAGAGTGAGTCTGTTTGCTCTACAAGCAATCTTGGATTGGTTAATGGTGTGAATGAATCATTTAAGGCACCTGCGATTTCTCTTATATTTACTCCTGAGTGTTTAAAAGTATACACTACCTTTCAGAAATTTGGGGTTGGTAAGATTTTCCAATGTTTTCTAAAGTTTTCCAAGACAGGCTAAAAACAGTTTTATTATAATATTTGATTTGAAATGGAAATCTTTTGTAACATAATAAATGTCTTTGCTCTCATTTTTGATCGATTTAATCCATCCTTGCAGAGTTGAAGTCTTAATTCTTTCAAAAAAAGCAAACTTGAACTTGAACACAGCCTGTGTTCTTTTCTATATTTCATATTAGACAGCCTCTGTTTCTGTTTAAAATAGAAAGAGATTATTTTAACTTGAAAGGATTTAGAAATGATCCTCATACCATATTATGCTTTCATGTCACAATCAAAGATGTTTTTCTTTTCTTTTTTTTCATATTTTTGTGCCATATTATTTTGCGGATAGTTGTCAAACTAAAAGTGAGCCAATTTATGTTACATGTGATTATATTAATCCAGGATTAATAATATAATTTACTGTTCTAATGAGCTTGTTTATATGTGTCCTGCAGCCCACAGTGTGTGAGAGAGAGTTATGTGTATTCGCCTTCCAAACTCTAGGGGTCATGAATGAGGCTGCTGATGAGATTGCCACTGGTGCTCAGGTACACAAACAAACACAGAATTCATACAGTCATTCTGTACAGAACCTTCTAACCAAATGGCTTAACAATCTCTGTTTGTGACAACAGGTTGTAGACCTACTGGTCTCCATGTGCCGATCTGCACTGGAGTCTCCGAGAAAAGTTGTCATTTTTGAGCCATATCCCTCTGTGGTGGATCCCAATGACTCACATGCACTTGCCTTCAACCCCAGGGTACTAAAAACACTAAGAGCGTTTAGCTTTACCTTACTCCGTCTTTTTTTGTGTAATGCTGCTACTCATGAAGGAATATTACATTCAGTGTTTCGGTTCTTCTTCAGAAAAAGGACTATGACCGAGTAATGAGAGCACTTGACAGTATCACCTCTATCAGAGAAATGACCCAGGTATCAACCAGAAATTTACAACAGGAGAATGTTTGTTCTAAGGTTGTTACATTGTTTTTAAGTCTGTCAATCAATTAAAATCAAACTATTTTAATGACATTAAAATATATATGGTATATGATATATAGAATGTTATGAATGCTATATTATAAATAATGAATGTATTTTTATAATAATTTAATATACCACCATTTGTTACCACTTTATTTTACAGTGTCCTTGTTACACATTACATGTAGTTGCTATAGCAAAAACTATAAATTATGCATGATTATTACATGCAACTAACCCTAAACCAAACCCGGTAACACTTTTTTTTACAGTGTCCTTGTTACATATGTTACATGTAATAACTGTAAGTTATGCATAATTACATGCAACTAACCTTAAATCAAATCCTAATCCTACCCTACCCCTATAGTAAGTACATGTAGTTGCTTAATATTACTCAGTACTTAAATATATAATTACTCTGTAACAATGACCCCTTAAAATAAGGTGTAACCCCAAACCCTAACCCTAAAGTAATTACATGTAGTTAACTAATATTACTCAGTACTTAAATGTATAATTACAAAACCTTAAAATAAAGTGTAGCCAATTTTTTTTTTTTTACAATTTAATTTACTATAATATTTTATAAATGTATACTGTATATAAAAGTATTTATATACTTTTTATGAATAGGTCAAAATAAATGTTCTGCAAAATATTATATTTAACACATTGAATTGACAATACTAGTTGTTTAAATCACAATCCCTGTATCTTTTATAGCATAAGTCTTCAGAGAAATCAGCCGGTGCTTTGATTCCTAATGGAGGAGCATTTTGACATTTTAATCGTTGCTGTTTCTTCTGCATAGGCTCCATATCTGGAGATAAAGAGACAAATGGACAAGCACGATCCTTTGGCTCACCCACTACTGCAGTGGTATGACTGAATGACACTTCAATCATTATCTACTCCACTCCTGCATTTTAATGATGTGTAAATGTGACAGTCAGCTCTCATAACAGCTCTAATTACATAGTCATGGAGAGTGTGTGCATCCACCTTTGTTGTACCTTGGACAGTCAGTATGATCATGTGACATACAATCACGCATATACAGTATTTAAATGCATCTACAGTCTTGCAGTGGAGGGCTTCAAACCTAATGGAGTATATGGTTGATTAATCCATTTTTTTACAGGGTGATATCCAGTAACAGATCACACATAGTGAAGCTTCCTGTTACTAGAGTAAGTCTTGTATCTATCTTAAGCATTTGTTATGATTTCCAATGTTTCTGCATATGCCACAAGAATGTGAAAATGTGTCTGATCTAGATTAAGATAATCTGGGTTAGACGCATAATGATTAATCTTTCATTGAATTGCTGGCATTACATCCCTAAGAGAGAACCATCACTCTTTTAGAAGCCATCTTTCAGTTCTGCTGCATTTTTGAAGAGAGTTTTAAATTTACAGGCACTGTGACATTTTTCAAAGTTTTAAGCAGAGAAAATGATTTAGGCTTAGCGTCTCAAGTATATGCTCTTATATCTTGTTTCTATCACAACAGCAACTGAAGTTCATGCACACACCCCATCAGTTCCTCCTGCTCAGCAGTCCGCCAGCCAAAGAATCCAACTTTAGAGCTGCCAAAGTCCTCTTTGGGAGTACCTTTGCTTTTCAGTAAGTTCCATTTTAAACACCTAAGAAAGCCTAAGCTTTTTTATCCTTAAATCAAATTTGACCCTCAGCGTTACAAATTCATAAATTCATGAATAGGGTACAACAGGGCTTAAGTAAAATGTATTTTAGCTGTTCCCAAAGTATATTATAATATCTGTCTTGCTGGAGCTTTTGGCAGTTTTGTGTGCAATGTGAATCAGGCAGTCTGAATGGTCTGTGGGTGTGCTGAACAAATGTTGTAGCCACAAGCCAGGTTTTCACTGTAAGACCTACTGTATCAGAAATGACGATTTCTCACTTTATATTCTTCATGGCTTTGTGATTGTCCTCTAATATTAAATATACTAAATTTGAAGTGCATTTCACTGTCGCAATAAGAGGAACTCAGTTCCAGCTGTCGTAACTAGTTCAGTTGCGATTCAGCTGTGCAGCAAAATATATGTAAGGAATAATTGACGATGGGCCATTTAATTATTCGAAAAAAAATGCACACCCGAGGTGGTAATCCGGCCACGGCGAGAAACGAGTTATGCGTTATTTATTTTCTAATAATTCAACGAACCGGAGTCAATTATTCCGCATTATCACAGTACGGTTACCACACCTCAAGACATTGTTCAGATATTGTATTTTAAGACATTTGTCAGGTTTTTATCCTTAAAACGCTCTTGTGTGTAGGACTAATTTCTTACTCATCTCATCCCACGCCTCCATTGCTAATTCCAAAACTTAATTTTAGAGCTAGTAATGGAAGCTTGAGCCACTGATAGCAGAGAGAGAATTAAGCGTGTGTGAATTACCTGAGTCTGTACGTCTCTCAACAGTGTTCGGCACCAGCGTCTCTACTAATAGCAAAACTGTAAGTTTATCTGCTTCAAGAACAGCGCCATTATTACCTCGCTAGTGAGAAATGTCATGTAGCTTTTAAGTTGCTAAACTATTTTACTGATAAAATCGTCAGAGCAGCGCTGACAACACGTTTCCGTGCGAGTGTGTGTCCGTACTTACTGTGTGTGAGTTTGAGTGGGAGAAAAAGAGTATGTGCTTTCCGCATTTATTAAAGCGTAATTTTGTGACAAAAAACATGGAAATAATTTGTCATTTTTATACTATTTTTTACTATATTTGCTTGGTCAGTGTCATTGTGGGTTTTGGGTTCTTTTGCGGTTGTAGGCTCTAAGGACCTTTGAAATAACTGAAATTATTTGGCGAAGTGATATGGACATGTAAATACGTCAGTCATGCATTCCCTGAAAATGATTGCACACGTTAGAACGCTCGTCAACCAATAAGATTCAACAATATAACAGCCCCATAGATTTTTTGAGTCATAGAATAGGTTTCAAATCTGTCTTTTGCTCAAATTTAATTAAAACCACAACTGTGTACAGGTGTGAAGTTTCTTTCGGACTTGAGAACAGTGGTTATTAATTTTTCAGTTTAAAAAAAGACAAACTGACTGTCTCTCTCTTTCTTTCTATCACTTTCAGTGGATCACACATAGAAAACTGGCACTCCATTTTGAGGAATGGTTTGGTTGTGGCATCAAACACAAGGCTTCAGGTACTCACTTCTAATTGTGATACAGATACAGTTTTTAATGTAATTAAACTGTAATGAAGTTTGGATGAAGCCAGTGGTTTTTTTTGTGGAAATATGATGTGATAGTATATTTATGCATAATGCATTATGTAAACATCTTAAAGGGATAGTTCACCCAAATAAAAAATTTCTGTCATTAATTACTCACCCTCATGTCGTTCCAAGGACTTTCGTTCATCTTCGGAACACAAATGACGATCTTTTTAATAAAATCTGAGAGCTTTCTTTCCCTCCTCTTACAGCTGCGCATCTACAGTACCACTTTGACGCTTCAAAACGTTCATTAAGAGATCAAATAATCCATATGAATTGAGTCAAAGTGGTAGTTGTGTAGCTGTCAATGAAGAGTACAGAACTGGCTCAGATTTTAAAAATATCTTCATTTGTGTTCCGAAGATGAACAGAAGTCTTACGGGTTTGGAACGACACGAAGGTGAGTAAATGATGACAGAATTTTCATTTTTGGGTGGAACATCTTTAAACATCTGAGCAGACCGATGTGCACGGACTTTTTTTTTTATATACCACATCTCTTAATATATGCAAGGAAGAACTTGGATAGTTCACCCAAAAATGAAACCCTCACTTACCCTCAAATTGTTCCAAACCTATACAGGTTTTTTTCTTCTGTTGAACACAAAAGAAGATATTTTAAGGTAACCAGACAGTTGACGGTAGCCATTGACTTCCTTTTTTTCCTACTATGGATTTCCATGGCTACCGTCAACTGTCTGGTTACCTTAAAATATCTTCTTTTGTGTTCAACAGAAGAAAGAAACCCGTACAGGTTTGGAACAACTTGAGGTTGAGTAAATGATGACAAAACTATCCCTTTTATAGTTTGTGAAATTCACAAACTATTAAACTATTAATAATTTAGTGGTGGATTTTCTGAACACTCTGTAAGAGGTTTATTTATTAGAAGAAGAAAAAACTATCTGTAATGTCAGTTGTGTATGACAATGTTTTTCAATATTGGTTCTGAGGAGCCACTGCTCTGCACATTTTGTATGTCTCCTTTATTGAACACCTGATTTAGATCATCAGCTCACTAGGTGTGGGCAGGCCCGCCGACAGGGGGGGACAAACGGGTCTGTTGTCCCGGGCCCAGGGTAGGGAGGGGGGGCCCTCATTAAATTATGGAATAATTGTTAAAAATAAAAAAATAAAATAGGCATATTTGTTGAAAAAAATATTTAATATTTGAGTTACATAAAAGCTTTTTATTTGTTTTCTTCCTAATTGTCCTTGAAATAGTGGTCAAGAACCCCCCCCCCCCCCAAACAAAAATGGTTTGGCCACTGATCAAAATATGATGATGTCATTTGATTTGAAGTTCAGTAGGCTAACGTTACGCTCAAAATGTCCGGTCAGCACAAGTCCGGTGCTCAGAAAAGGAAAGAAAAGAAAAGAAAAGAGAAGAGAAGAGAAGAGAAGAAGAAAATAGAGGCCTTCGAGATGTCCTAAACAAATATTTTTAAAAAGGTGGTGACGGTGAAGCTGGAACTAACGTTAGTAAAGTCAACGTAGAGCAAGGTAAGAAACAGCGCAGCCAACGTTTATGAGTGTTGTCAAAGACCCGGCACTTCGGTACCAAGTCGGTACAAATATCTTTCTAAACGTCACGCCACGGTACCAGGTTTTCTCAAACCCGGGATGCGCGTGCATGCCCAAAGCGCGTGCAGTTGCGTCCTCTTCATAAAAGCGCTGAGACATGGCGACCGGCGGTGCTGCTGCTGTGGTGGCTGTAAATCCACTTGTTGATAAGAAAGGAGGAAAGAGCCACATATGGAAATATTTTGGATATTAGCTCATAATAGCGACGCGGCGCGCTCGTTTTTACAGGCGCGCCTAAGTTCATTGTTGCATAGCAACGACAGACGCCATGGGAGAGCAAACGCTTGTGGAAAGGAGAAAGCGGTGCGAACTGCGCTCTCCATGATGACGAGGAAGTATTAGCAAAGACTTCATTGATTTCTAGCCCTTGGATTAGCTTTACTACTATTTATGGAGATGAGAAATAAAAAGCCGGCTGAAATGCATCACTGTCATCCAGACCCGGCGCCAGACACAAATTCACGGACGGGCATTCATTTTTTTCAGGGGGGCACAAATGAAAACAACCTCATTGCATCATAACAGAATCGATTATGATACTATGCAATGATCGATAGAGCATAATAATTATATAATAGGCTACTGACGCTAAAGGTACGTTTACACACTGCCTCCGCAAATTTCGATTTAATTTTTAAAGTAGGTTTGAGAGGTGTTTTCAGGTCATCAGTGGGTGCTGTGAATTATTATTGAAAAAAATTGGGCATGTTGTGTGGACCTCTGTCCCTGTTCGGGGGCATTCTCCCCCGCAAGAAAATTTTGTACATTTTAAGTTTAAATGCATCAATCTGGTGCACATTGAGAGCTCAAAATTAAGAGCTTTAACCGGCTTCGACCCATGAACTGTGCACATTGAACAAAGGAAAAGCATTGACTTGTACCTAAAGAGGGCTCAAACATCTTGTTAATTAGTCTCAGTCTACATTACATCGTATTTTATATTAAGCTATAGAATAGGAAAATTACACTACTTTTGTCCTAATTTCTTCACTTGTAAGGAATAAACCCTTGAGCTTTTATTTAGGAGAAAACACAAGATCACCATGCTGATCGTGTGAGCAAGAGCGCACTTTTCTTTAAATCACGCAGCACAAACAGAATGGCTAACGTTACTTAATTAAAGTCTTGTGCTGTTTAGCCAAAAAAACGAAATATAATACCGAAAAAACTCGACATGTCAACAAAACATAAACATCTTCCCAAACACATATCAAGCTTATTTAAAAACCTCGAAAGCAAAAACACTCATTCAAAGTAATACAATGTATTACGTATTCAGAATACAAATTATGAGTAGGCTAACATTAGTCTCCACAGAGCATAAAATATTCATTTCATTTTATTTTTCATGTTCGCATTTATGAGGAAAAAACAATGTTACGGACTCTGAAAGCGGCACTAAAAGATGCTTTAAAACTTTCACAGAGACATCAAACAGAAAGCAAAACCTTTCTTTAAAGTGAATTTCGTTTTGTATTTATTGTATCTTAATTTTAATCAATATTTCATCAACCAATTGCCTGGATGGATTTAATAAATAAGAAGTAAATATAGCAGACGATAATGACGAACCGGAGGCGCCACCGCGTGAACTGGAGCTCGTCGCAATTGAACCGAAACTCAGTGTAGGCGTATAAGGTAGCCCGCCTCACAGACATGTCTACTTTTAAACAGAACAATTCAAAACAAAAGAAAACAGACTACAGACTGCTCCCTGCTCATGTAATCCGTATGAAATGTGCATTTCTCTATGGCGTTTGAACGAAACGTTTGAATGAATGACTCAAAGACTCGCTTAATAAGACCGCAATCACATGCATTTCCGCGCTCTCTATCGACAAACCAATCAATCCGTTTACAATTAAAAAAAAATCAGACCAAACACATTTTTATTTTTATTCAGGAGTTATGTATATTCAAAAGGATAACTTTTGATAACAGTAGCCTATTGATAAAAAAGATATTGTGCAAACAAGCAAGGACTTGGTGGGACTTGAAGTGGAGTTGGTGAAGGGAGAGACTCGCTCAGGGCGAGCACTAGTGACTCACAGGGCGGGCCAGGCCCCCCAATGCCCGCCCATGGCGCCGGGACTGCTGTCATCATCGGTGAACAGATAAGGGGTCAGATCCGAGTCTATTTTTGCTGCGCTGCTCATGCTTAAAAGTGAAAGCACACTTTTGATGGACAAAAAATAAATATGATTTCACACAAAAAGTGCCCAAAATGCACAGATTTTGCATGTCTAGTGTGTTTTAACAAGAACTGCAGTAGGCTATGTCAGAAAAGAAAATGAAGACATTTATAGAAAATGTACCCATTTAAACGTGTTTTTATTATGCATTTTGGGTAAAAGTATATGGTGTTTTATAAAAAATAAAAAAAATCGTGGGGGGGGCCCCATCTAAGATTATCTTGTCCCGGGCCCAGGCAAGACTGTCAGCTGGCCTGGGTGTGGGTTCCATGAACTGAACCAAGGGTACGTCTCAATCAACTCTCTAGTTCAGTACTCAGGGTGTCAGCCATTTTAAGAGATTTCTCTATCATGAAAACCTTCCAGTGCACTAAAACGCTGCTCCCTAAAAAGTCCCGCAATGCACTGTAAAAACCAGGGAGCATTGATGCTCACTATGCTCCCTTAACAGAAGTTCCAAAGCACAGAACATAAATCAGGAGCCAACCCTAGTGAAAAAAGCCTATACCAGAATGTATTTATAAATACATTTATTTCATACAAAGTGTACTACAAATCCATTAACATATTTATTGACATATCATTTTAGACTTACTGATATAAATATTATCATTAAACTTTATTTGGAGTTCTTCTTTGTTGCACAATGCACATTTCTTAATGTTAAGTCTAAAAGGTGTTAAATATCACTATTAGTAAGGATAGTATGAACTCTGTATAATATCCGTCTTTAAATGTAAGATATTTAGGGCTCTATCATACACCCGGCACAATGCGGGGCCAGGCGTGACGCAAGTTTTTCTTTGCTAGTTTCAGCCCGACGCAGTTATCATTTTCACGTCCTGCGCCACGTTGTTTAAACAGAAAATGCATTTTCGCCCATGGGCGTGCTGGTCTGAAAACGCGCATTGTTGTGCAACTTCAGGCGCATTGTTGGCGCTTTGCTATTTTATGGCAACTGTAATAGACTGTGCCATTGACCAACTGAAACCTGGTCTAAAGTCAATAGTGCAATATACTAGCTGTTAGGCTAACTCTGGTGCAATTACTCTTAATTGTGCATTGTCCCTGTAAAAATAAACAATAAAGTTAAGTAAGTCATATTTTTTTTGTTATTTAAAGAGCGCATTAGTAATATGTGCCTATAGGCTGGTGCACAACGCATGTGCATTACACACACTGGGACGCGCAGCAGCACACAAACATGCCAAATATTAAAATGTATTACAATGTAAACGATTATTATAGTGTACATAAAGATATGGTGGAATCCGGCTTGTACCGTAGATGGTCAGCTTGCACGCTTTAACCTCGCGCACGAGCAGATCTGTTTCCTCTCTGTGTTCAGTCTTTCCGCTTGCAAATTCCGCCATGTAAATAGCAATCTGCCATGGTGCATGCGCAACTGGCTTTTAAAGGGAATGGGAGATGAGACTCTGATTAGTTTATTGCACGTTATGCCCAAAACACACCCATTACTCATTAAGAGAATAGCGACAACCCTTTTAAACCCGACCATTTTTCCCGTCATTAAACTAGCAAAAGTGGATTCGGACATGCCCTAAGTGCACTTGCGACGTGCGCTTTAGACCATGCGCTTACATCGTTAAAATATGGCACTTAAAGTGTACCTAAAGTATATTTGCAATAGTTCCACTTTAGTACAATCATATATACTTAAGTATATCTTTAATTGGACCTCAGGACTATTTCTAGATAACTAAAGTGCATTAGGTACAAAATTAGTTGTTCCAGTTTAGCAGACTTTAAGTATATCAATTTAGTATACCAACAGTACAATTGCAGAGTATTTATATTTCACGAGTTCACACTTACATACAATTAGAGTGGATAAGGTTTAATGCGTATTTGGCATGCTGTCCGGGGGGAGGGCTCCGAGCTCGGAGTTTGGCCCGGACCCAGAGTACTCCTAGCCTGGCTCCGCCCTCCTACGCACTTCCGCTCAATTTTATTTTCCTTCAGTACTACGTCTGGGATTGTGCTGTAGACTTTGGTTTCCAGAAATAATTTTTTTACCGGTCCAATCAGCGAACAGAGGGAGTGGCTGAGAACGATGACGTTGATGTAGCGCGTCAGTTTGAGTTGGAGTTCAGTAATGGCAGCGGAGAAAGACGTGAGAAAATCTATTCGGTCCGTTGTTGCAAAACTGCCGAATATCCAGAAGTTAAAGCCGGAGCAAGATCAATGTTTGCTAAGTGTTGTTGGTGGCCATGATGTTGTGGCCCTCCTCCCCACGGGGTTCGGGAAAAGTTTAATTTTCCAGCTCACTCCGCTAGTGGTGAATGAGTTAGCTAAGGCGAACGATAGGATGCAAAGCCGATAGTTGTTGTCGTCTCCTCTTGTTGCACTAATGGAGGACCAAGTGAGGGAGGCAGAAAGGTTAGGAGTTGGTGCTGGGCAGCTCGGCGTGCACGATGATCACTGTACAGCATTTGCGGCAGATCCGAAACGACCGCAGCGGCGTATTGTTAATGATTACACCCAGCTTCGACAGTTGACTGAATACATCACTGTCCTTAGTGTCAAATATACATTTAGAATTTAGAATTGTTCCTTGAACTCTTAAATTCGATGAACAAAACATGCAGCTCTCGTTGACAGACATCTTATTCTTAACATAATCCTCTGATCATTCGGACTTGTTTTTTTTTATTGCTTAAAACAATACACAAGTAATAACAGAAAACATAATACAAAAACAAACAAAAAATAATAATAAAAACAAAACAAAAATAAAACAGTAGGGGGATAATATAAAATAATTTGAACAAGTTAAGAGAATTACATGACACTGAAAAAAGGAAAATAATTACAAACAGATAATGTTTTTAAGGCTTTTTTTGTTCTCAGACAACTTAATTGAAAAGAGGTATTTCAATTCGGACTTGTTGTTTCCAGCCAGTTTCGGCGCATGACATACGTCTATGGTTACGGCTATGGCAGATCCTGAGTGACGCTGGGCAGATCCAATAGTTTTGAACTTTAACAGAGAACCCGCCTACAAGGAAGTAAACGTTTCTCAATGGAGCGAGGCCAGACTCTCTGTACAAATGAAATGTACGAGAGTCTGGTAGAACCAGGCTAGAGTACTCCCCCCCATGTAAGTGTTTATGACTGGAAGTGTGGAGAAGGGGCGGTGGAGGGATGCTGCTAAACTATCAATGGAGTGAGGTGAGATTGCTGAATCTATATACACCTCTTATCATTGATTGCTGGGTGCACTCCACTCATGTTAATTAACTGAATGTGCTCCTCCCGAACGTTGTTAATAAAACATCATTAAGTACATAAATATGTAAATGTATCTGCAATGTACTTAGCATAAAATAAATGTATTTCAAATACATTTTAGTATATTTATTTTCCATTAGGGAACTCACACAATGATACGCGATAGATATTTTTTAAAATACAAACCATTATGTAATTTTATGTCTGCATAAACATGCATCGTTAGACAAGTAAAGAACATAATCTGGCTAACATTTATCATTTATTTATTTGTTTCACATATACAGTATGTAACAAGCTTTAAATAACATTAAAATAACATTCTGCTGTTGTTCATAAATACCAGTAGTGATGTTGTACAATGAAAACATTGTCATGTCGCTGGAAGTAGAGTCATCAGTGTCCCAATGTGTAGTGAGCCAGCGTCCTTTACTGTCCTTATCAGTGCCCGAATTCATGTACATGGTATACTTGTTCACGACCTTTTAATTTAGGGAGCTGATTGAGACACAGGGCCAGATGTACATACATTTGTGAACGCAGCGTTAATAGCGCCATGGCCAAGACGCAGAAAGCGCTTGATGTGAAACCGCAGTGTGCGTGTTACAGTATGTACCAAACCTGCAGTTCATCAGGTAATCAGCGCCTGTCCCCACCCACTATACCGTAAATTGCGCGAATTTAAACATGCAATTGAATGGGCCTCCTCCTCTCACTGCTGATGCTATGACTGTTTGAAATGATCCTGATGCCAATAATTGTAATGTAGCGAGGAGTTTAACAACTGCTGGAATGGAATGTGAATGCTGAGTCGGAGATTCAATGTCATCTTTGATTTCTTCCAGTAACTGTAATATTGCGTAGCTGCTTAATCTGTAACGCTTAATAATTTCGTTTTCACTCAACTGAAAAAGCGTGATTCTTGTGGCAAAAATCTTTTCAGCTCGTCTCCTTAGCCTATGTCTTCGTCTTGCTCGGATTACTGCTGCCATTTCACCAGGAGGCAGGAAACCCGCTTCCTAAGTTACACCTGCTTTTAAGAGGCGGAGAATTTCCAGCGCAAAATAGAGGCGCGCTTTCACCGGCTTTTTCTGTACATAACGCGTAATACATAATTAGGCGCAGTTTACGCTTCCCCTCCCATCTCTTTATGTGACACTCCCACTTTCCCCTTGACCGTCCCATGAATGCATATGCATGACACGAAAAGCCCATTTTGCCATTTTCAGTTCCCGCGACAGGCAGTCTGCGCTTTCATCTCGGTGCGTCCCCGTTCGTACATGCCTCACCATGGTTTTATGCGCACTTTGCGAAACAAATACGCCTGAAGTGGGCGCAAAAGCGTTAGTACATCTGGCCCTCAGTGTGTCAGATAAGAAAGACATACAAAATGTGCAGAGCGGTGTGTGGTGTGGTGTATGGAACCCGTATGAAGTTTGTAGTTAGTTCCTTTTGAGAAAAGGTAAAAGATGGTTTGCATACTAAATCATTGTTTTATTTGCAGCTCCATGGCGCTATCTATGGGAGTGGAATCTATCTCAGTCCATTATCAAGCATATCCTTTGGCTACTCAGGTCTTAAAATCTTCTTTTAAGATGTTTGATACTGATGTTTCCTGTACTTTCTATATGACTATATGCACAATAAAACAAAAAAAGTATTACACATATATTTTTTAAAACTTGTTACATGTGAATGTGCTGTTTTTATTCATACTGTGGCTTTTCCACATAGGGATGAATAAAAAACAGCAGAAAGTTGCTTCAAAAGATGAAACTGCTGCCAACAAGACCAATATTAATTTGCAGGTATTGAATGTATTTAGTTGTTTTTTTTTAGCACCTGACTCAAAATCGTAACTTGAATGACTTTCTTCTTCAAGGGCTTTTTCAAATATACTTGGTATCTGAAACCTGTCGGTCCACAAATTTTCTTTTGCTTTCAGTCACAGAAGAAAGGCCAGAACCCCCAGTTTCTGCAGAGCCGCAACCTGAAATGCATAGCTTTATGTGAAGGTTCATGTTTGACCTTACTGCCTTTACACAGATTTACATCTTCATCTGTAATCTTTAAAAAAATAAAATAATAATATTCTCTCTTTTATATAACAGCTATTACATCTCCAGACCTGCACAAGCATGGTGACATCTGGGTAGTTCCAAATACAGATCACGTCTGCACACGTTTTTTCTTTGTGTAAGTACTTTTAAATCTATCTCAGCATATGTATCTGTGTTGCTCAATGTGTATCTGTAAAAACGTCTGTAGAGTCTGTATCTCCCAAACTGACAATCAGAACATAAAAAGCAGCACATCTGATGAGTTTGTTATTAGCAGAAGAACTGAACTGAAATCCTTTTTCTCTGTTTGTTTTTTAACCACTTGTCAACTAGTTATGAGGACGGACAGGTAGGTGACACAAGTATAAACACACAGGACCCTGGTATTCATAGGGAGATCCTGCGAGTCATCGGCAATCAAACGGCTACTGGATGAAAGATTTTGAACACAATACCGCTGCCTTGACCTCTTTCCCAAAGCTGGACATTTGAGCGTAGGAGGCCAATACCATGTATTTTTTGGTAACCACAGAACACACACACAGACATACAACAAAAAGGATATTCACAATCTTCAAAATACACTATTTATACTGTTCCCCTGGGATACATGCATATTTACACTGGCTATTCAAACTATTACCATTTTGCTAAGTTTATAAATACAAGGTACATTTTGAAAGAGCATGGTATGTCTCTCAGTTCAACTGATGGACTACTTATTTTTTGTAAAGATACAAAAAATGAAAGCACTTTGAAGAAGTACAGTATTTTGAGACTTTCTTGGAGAAAATACAATATTCCTGTGTGGATATGCACCATCTGACCTTGTTTACTAAGAGTTGTACTTGTTAAAGTACATTAATTTGTGTATACAAAAGGTGTCTACTGTATATGCACTTTATTTTTCTTAATGTATGATAGTTTCAAACTTCCATATAATCTTAAATGCCTTTCAAAGACAGATGTATTTATTGTTTGACAGTGCTGAACACGAGCGAGCAACTCCTGATTTTGACTGCATTTACAGCTGATGGAGAGCTTTGACAAATGTAGTGTAAAACAATATCCCTGTGCTACAGCTTATATGTCATGCTACTTAAAAGTAGCTGTCAGTTTACAATTTCTAAAGGCCTCAGTTTAGAATTTGCCCAGATTTACCGAACCTGCCACTTCATTAACTTGATCATTTTAAATATACAGTATTGCTGTAACATTTGGTGAGTGACTATACCAACTATATAAAAAAGTAAAACTTTAAAAAAAAATTAAACACTTTATATATATATATAAATCGGCAGCAACAACTAAACATAAAATGCATGCTGCTTTCCTGACATTTTCAAATAACTTGTTTTCCTTGATATGGTTACAGAATTTTTTGATAATGGACAAAATCGGCACCCAATTGTAAATTGTCTTTTCAATATAAATCTTTTTTGTAAGGTGATTTTAAGGCAGAATACGTGTTTGCTGCTTGTTGTTTTTACATTGTAATGTATTAACAGAAGGTTCAAATGTGTGAGTGTTCTGTTCAAGTTTTGCAATTATTTATAGTGATGTTTAGACACCTGTGTGGTTGTTTAACTTTACTTTCAGTCGTTTAAATCATTTTTGAGAAACCCAACACCCAACATAGATATTAGAACCTGTGCATAAAGGTAACACATTTGATTAGAATTCATTAAATTGTTATAAAAATATTATTTGAGGAAATGCAACTTTTACATAGTCAAGATGTAGCACCACAACACTTTTCTCACTTATGGGCAGAATTATGGGTTTTATTAAAACATGGGCACGTCAAATATGTAGTATTGATCATTTTGTGTGCAGAAAAGTATTTTGTATTTTTCCATGGGACTCTGAAATACTGGTAAATCCACACGATATTCACTTGCAATATATTCCATTTTATTCCATTGTAGATGCAATTGATTGAATGGCAACAGCTCAATATTACATTTTATCTAAAGTGAACGTTTACATAATCATTACGCATTGTCAAGTTTGTCATTACTAAAAAAGGGATGTAAATCAGATTTGTTACAATGAGTATTCCTTCAAATCCACAATCTGATCAGTTAATGAAAAATCTCTTTAAAGGATTCAAATAGGGGTTAGTTCTTACATGCATAATTGTTTCAAAACTTTATTTGTTACTTTACCTTCATTGTTATGGACTGTTCGTTATAGTTCTGTTTGTATATTTTTATACATTTTCTGCACAAATTGGTAAAAAAGAGATCATGCTATTAGCATTTGGTGCCTTATAGATAAGGATTTAATGGCAAATTTGACAATACTGTCATATGTGAAAATACTGTATATATTGTAAATAATGCCACAGCGACACAGGAGGCCAAATATTTTCTGTAGTACGTTTTTACTTTTTCCTTATTTTGCGAACAGATCGAGCTTTTTACAAGTTATGGAAATAGTAGCTTATGGATCTGTTTATGTTCATTAAATTCAAATTTGCCTATAATTTACACATTTTTGTCTTTTTTTCCTTATAACTGAAATCAGATGTAAACCCCTAAATACTGCAGAATTGCAGTTCATACACAGAAGTGTGCTGCCTACGCCTAGCCCCACTCACCTTTGATCAGTTTCCAAATGCAATGCAAATGTTCATTTTTAACTACCATAAAGTGCCTGAAAGAACCGGTGCATGACAATAATTTAGTATACAGTTGTGGAAGATAGAGGACTTTTATTTCAAGTGTCTGTCCTCTGAAGCACAAATAAAAATTATTCCAAGTGTTCCTATGGTTGTTTTTCTCACAAAATCGTATGTTACTAATTAAGCCATATCTCTGCAAATCAGTGTTAGGACAGGTCAATCATTGACTTTAACTGGCCGAAAGCCTGGACATTTGGCACAGGTAAGTCAGTTAGACTTTATTTTGATGTTCACCTTTAGACATTCTGTTGACTTTAAGTAACATTGCACCTACATTCAACTAACTCTCAGAGTATTAGTAGAATATTAGGGATAGGGGTAGTAGAATAAGGGGTTAGGGTTGGTAGAATAAGTTGACATCCACTTGCAAAGTGAAATCTGCAATTTTAACCAGTGTAACGGCCCATTGCATTGCGTTGCCTGTCAGTGACGTCATATCAGCATTACTCTCGATTTTCTGGTTTTACTTCCGTAGAATCCATGGAAGCACCAAAGATGCTTTAAGATGTTTTATTAGACAGGCGAGCAACTGTTTGGATACCTTTATCAACAGAAAACGAATCATTTGTTATATAGCTCAAAACGGTTCGTCTTATTGTTTGAATCTCATTTTCTTGATTTATTGCGAGTAACATGTTTGTACCATGTGCCTCAGAGACAATGCTATCCTGTCAAGTGGCTAACAGCAAAATAAGAGCTTTATTTGTAATGCAGCATTTTCTCTATCATACAATTTTTTTATTTTTATTAATTGCATTCCTTTTAGCAACACAATTCATCCCGTTTTCATCTATGATATTCTCATATCGATCTAGCTTACTGCAATGTAGTAGAGTAATAACATAACTTACTCAAATGTATTTTCGTATGATTGTTTTGACCAAGTCAGAGCTGCCTTACCCCACATTTTTAATTTGTCAAATAAAGTGACCTGTATGAAGAGTAATTCAATATCAGGGAGGAAAAAAGGGAACTGACAAATGTTAAACGTAACTTTAATCGTAAAGTAACAATAAACAACTAAATGAAAGGAGCGGCAGACTGCCGCTTATAAGGATAATAAAAGCTCCGGAGTTCCTCCATGGGACTGGAGACGTGACATGCAGGTGTCTCTCATTAGCATTCGCTTCATCAGCTGATTGCTTTCCATCAGCTGTGGAGGTGAAGGTGACAACTCCCATGATTCCACACTCTTTCACGGCATCATCAAACTACACCTTTATTATTGTTTTGATTAAGTGACCTCTAGCAGCAAAACTTACATACTGTGCCTTTAAAATCTAATTTCTGTAGATGTGATCCTTTATTGTATTGACATGAAACTATAAGGTTTACAGTTGAAACAGAATGTGATTGTCTTCTCCTACTCTTTAATCCCATACAGCAGCATGAGTGAAACAATGGTACAAACTAAAACATGGCAATTCATACAGTACATCCTAAACTGTGTTAACATATAAAGTGGCTGTAAAAAATAATAATTAAAATGGCTGGTCATCATGAGACTGCAATATAACCTTACTTTAGGTTGGTTATAATCATATAGTGTTTGTATTGATTACAAAGTTAAGATCATAAAATCAGTAAATTCCTTTTGCTTTCAGTTCATCTTGTACTCGTTTCAGGTAGTCTGGATCTGGGTAACCATAACTACAAAGACAAAAGCATATTTACAACACATATGGCTTATAAATCAAGATTAAACGATGCTGATAATTAAAAGGGCTTGAGATGAGGTAACCACCAGAAAATGTTGACAACACCCAAACGGTTTACTTACTGCGTTGGCCCTCCGTCACGAGACGTCTTATGGTGAATGTCATTCCAGGTCACCACATTGTTCTTTCCAGTGGTAGATGAACATCCAATAGTGAAAGTGAGTCGCTGGTCAAACGCCCTCCGCAGAAGCTTCAGTACGTTGTTCCCCTCTGTTGAGTCAGGGAGGTAAGCTATGCGGGACGCCCCCATGTACTCCATGCCTGGGTTTGGGTGTTCATTCTGCAGAGTATGAGGTAATCAAAAGACTCTGAGGTGTAACTGATTGTTGTTATATTGAACAGCTCAAAGCAGAAGAATGTCTTACACTTCATTGCATTCATACTCACCCCCTGACGTCCACTTGGTATATGGTAGGTAATTACGATAGTTCCATATTTTCTGTATCCAGGTAAAGAAGAGCTGTCCCTTGAGACAGTCATGGTTCCTACTTTTGGTTGCGTCCCTGTAAGATCGCCGTATATCTCTCCACATATCGGACAGGCTGGTTTCAACTGGAAAGCCCTAGCCAAACAGTCTTTACAAAATTTGTGCTTGCATTTACTTAAAACTGTGCAATCAGGTGTCTTGATTGAATCCAAACAAATTGGACATTTCTCATCTTTGGCTGGGTCCGTTGATTTTTCTTGTGTCACGGGTTGCTTGTAAGGTATGTCATCGTCTTTTGTTTTTCTTGGGGTTTGGTGCTGTGGATATATTGTTCCCATTCTGTGCTGTGCACTCCCATTCAAAAATGTGTCTAATCTTTCAAGGATAATGAAGCTGCCGGTCAGTTCCAAACGCTTTTGATCTGAATTGATTAAGAGTTCTGGAAACTCTGCACTGCAAAGTGCAATGATATTTGGACTGTAAACGTATGTCCTAGTTTGCAGCCCTGTTGCAGTCTTTTGATATAATGTTATAAACTGTTCTCGTGCAAATTGAGCTTGTATGTTCTTACCAGTCTTGGACGTAAAAGTCACATGACTTGTGGACTGATTTATGGAAACCCCATTCCTATTTTCTATTATGTGAAGTTCCTTAGATTTCTTTTCTTGTATGTAATGCATTATAACTTCATCAACCTGAACTGGTTGAACTACTAAAGAGTAACTTTGAGCTTGTCCCAGACCTGCTGCAGTGTGGCCCCTCAGGCGCATCTCTTCTTGTCTTAGATTACTACTTCCATCATATGTTGGTCGTGTAGTTATACACTTTCTATGAATATCTTCAATATCTTGGAATGACCCGGTGGCAACTGTATATCCACCATCACTTCTAAGTGTCACTGTCTTGCCGTGAAGAATGCTTGAAACTGAATTTGGCGGTATGGTGGCTGGATCAATCTTAAGTCTCACTTCAGTAAATATCTGCAATGGATTTGAAAGTAATAGCCTAATCATAGCTGACTTATTAACAGGGTATATGCAGACAATCAAATGTAAGAGTTTTTAACACCTTAAATTTATCAAACTGTCGCCACGTTTGTCAAAATACTATAAACAGGCTTTAAGAACCTCATAATAGCTTAGGCTACACCTATATGCGCAGAATAGTCAAGCTAGCCTAATAATGAAAGTTTTTTTTTTATATGAAACTTACTGCCCTGACATTAAGGCCATAAATAATAAAGAAAAACACAGTTAAAGGGGTTTTAGCATGACTGTTAACAAACTTACCTTTTGCGGGCTCGCCATCTCTTTATTTCTGCCGATGGTGTCTTTCAGTTGTCAGGGAAATCAATAGTAGGCCTATCCAGTATACAAAAAGCAAGCCTCTATCGTAACCGTCAAGAAACGTGTTTCAAGAAAAAAAGTATACCTTCTTTTCAAAAGAAAAGCACAATATAAAGAGTGCTTCTTTTGGTCCAATATCACAGTGTCACTCAGAACAATGTTATCACCTTTTGAACGTAAACGCTGCGCTTTAGTTTCAGTTTTGAAGCAGGAAGTTCAGGAACTCATGCGCAGTAATTGGCGCTCAGGGTATGTTCAGGGTTGCCAGATCCCAGAAAAGTGTCCAGCATAAAGCCAACTCAAATCTATTTACGGGTTTTCAAAGTCAAAGACAGTGGGCCAACACAAAGCTACATGATACCTAACGTGTCAATAAATTGAAGCAGGCCTGTCCTGCCTGGATACAGCCATCAATTGACACTTGTCGCCATGCAGTCTCCGTACCCGATATGGCCTCTCTATTATAAATGAAAGAACCATAAAATAAAGTTTTGATTTTGTTTATTCTGTTTCAAAATATTTGATTTGACTATAGCTAGATTTGTTTAAATGTAAGTGCATTTTTAATTAGTTAATCTGTACTATTTCATTCTAATAATTTACTTAATCTTTTTTTTTATTTGGTAGCCTACTTTTATTTCTTTTACTTTGTCTTTGTTACTCTGTTAATTTTCAGTTTAAAATGTGAGCTATGGACCTTAGTCAGGTTAGACTCAGTCGGAATGGCACGCACTGTAAAGGTCCTATATGTATTTTACAACTCACAACTTGTTTTATGGAGTTTTGGTCAACTGTGAGTTTTTTACCTCTGAAAAACATTTTGTAAGCTGAACAATCAGTATGTTGTTAAACAACACATTTAACAGACTGTAATTCTATCCCTCACAGCCTCGTTTTCATTCCGGTCAGAAATGAATGGTGCTATTGACTAAGGTCTGTAGGCCTAAACATGAATAACATTGTCAGTGACATAGCTATCCATAGAATGCTATATCTGTAAATTTTTGCCTTAAAACACGTATTGTCCCAAATTTGCAAGACCATTATTAATAGGCTACATACACTTTTCTCTTCATTCACTCTCCTTCTCTCCACATTAAATCTTATTTTGTCTAAACAAGATTCAATGTGCAATAACTCTACAATGCCAAACTCAATTAACCTCCCTTAAAATTCCTATGTTTCAGTGTTTCAATGTTTTCCAGGTTGCCAGAGTTCATTCCAAGGATCGATGCACATTAGTAAAAGGATCTAATTTCATTTTTATTTGTCTAAAAAGAAGCTTTTCGGAGACCACAGTACATTAAAAAAGTACCCCAAAATCTGCAACCTGAGACTGCATTTTCAAAATAGCCCAAGTGTGCAGGAAAACATGGTTCCTTCCTTTGAGGTTAGGCCTACTGCCCCAGTGAGAAGCAAGGGGACAATTTTACCACAATTCTTCTGAGTGTAAACAAAAACAATCTAATAATTGGCAGTTAGACCTATTTAATGTACAAAAAAAACAAAAAAAAACATGGTTTTCAAATCTATAATGTTAGGTGCACATTTTATTCTTACAAATAATTTTAAAGATCAGTAGGTATTGGTATTGTTATCGGCGGCCTTGAAAGTATGGTCTTGTAATGGAAAAAATATTATACCCATTCCTACGAGCCGCTCTTGCTGTGTTCATAAAGTGGGAGTAAATTACAAATGAACTACATAAGCTGCCAGATGTTTATCAAAATATAGTTTTTATTTATTCAGAAGTCAGTGTTATTGCAGTGCATATTGCATGCCACTTGCAAGGGATTATGCAATGGAAGTATTTTTGTAACAAATGAAAAAAAAATGTTCTATATATCAGAGCATGAATTTAATTTGTGAAAATGACAGATTTTTCTTTGAGTACACTGTAATGCACAGGCTACTGAGGATGAAGTTAAACAAAATGCAACAAACGAGTAATTTATAAATCATAAAGCCCAAATAATACACCCTGATTGTAATAGTACCAAAAGTTACAGTGAAAATGCATTCCTCATTTAGTAGATAGGCAACTAATTAGAAAAACATTTACAGAGCACCACAAGAGGGAGTTAGAGGCGCATTTAGTTACGAAGACCGCCAACTCAATATGATTTTACTCTCCTTCCCAGCTATATTTCCCCAGACTCTGTTTTGTCCAAGTACATTTTTTGTCATCATCTGACAAGAGATACCATATGCTGACCTGAGAATAATTTTCCTGGACAAATTTATCTCACCTGTGATGGACTGGCCATCTGTCCAGGTTGTCCAACATCCGCGACCCGAGATCCTGGGATAGGCTCTCTGCGACCCTACAGAGAACAAGCGGTTTGGTGGATGGATGGAAATTGAGCTCAATTTTAAATAGCTTTATTTTAAAATTGCAAAAAAAGCAGGAAAAATTACACAAAAACATAGGCTAACCACAAAAACTAAAACAGACTGACAAGAGAGTTATGGATCTCTCACAATTGTATTAAATGTACAGCTGTAGCCAAAACTATTAGCACTGACAAATTTTGTTTCGCATAGTTGCTGCTTTCAGTATTTTTTCACGTTTTATGGTACACTGGAAAATAACAGTAAGCATTTCATAAGTTGTAAAGGCTGTTATTGGCAGAAGAGCAAAAAGAATTCATGCAAAGTGTCTTACAGTGTTGACCCTTCTTCTTCATAACCTCTGCAATTCACTCTGGCATGTTGAATATCAGCTTCTGGGCCAAATCCTGACTGACAATTTGTGCTTGTCCTCTGGCCTTTTGAGGATTGATCACAGGTTCTCAATGGGATTAAGATCCTGGCCACGGATCCAACATTTCAATGTAATGATCTCTAAGCCACTTCATTATCAATCTTGCCTTGTGACATGCTGCTCCATTATGCTGGAAAATACACATGTGTATCATCACCAAATTGCTCCTGAATCGTTGGGAGAAGTTACTCTTGCAGGACGTTTTGATACCGTTCTTTGGAGGAGATACATCCTGGCGACAATAGTCAATTGGCTGTATGTAAATGTATCCAGGCAGGACTGGCCTTCCGCAGTCTAATACTTATACTTCCTGCAGAATTTCAGTCTGTCTTTCATGTATTTCTAGGAGAAAAGTGGCTTCTTTGCTGCCCTTCTTGACACCATGGCTGTGGTCCAAAAGTCTTTGCCTCACTCACTGTGTGTGCAGATGAACTCACACCACCTGCTGCCAGTATTGAGCAGCTCTGCACTGTTAGTGTCACGATTCAGTAACACTCTGGGACGTCCTGAAGTCTCTCCTTGAAGTGCTTGATGATCTGGTAAATGGTTCTTTCAGGTGCAATATTCTTTGCAGCAGTTTCCTTGCATGAGGCCATTTTGATGCAAAACAATGATGGCTGCGACGTCTTTCTTTGAAGGTAAACATTGATAACACAAGAACACAATGACTGGAAGCAACACTGACCATCTTCTCAGCCATGATATTTCCTTTTTTTTTGGATTTAAGTTAAATTCTACTACTCCATTAAAAAGATGTGAAAATGTGTTCCTTCAGGTTGAGCAAATCAGCTAAAGGTGAACTTCACTCTCTATCCACAAACAAATACTTATAGTCAGTGCTATTGTACACTGAAAAACACTGAAAGATGTACGCATGATGCCGATACATAATATTGAAAACAAGACAGCAGCTAAACCCTTTAACAGCACTACCACCACACATTCAGCAGAAGCCCATATTGTCGGAAACCCTTCCCCCTCCAAGATATAACTAGGGACCCCTGTTTCCAGTGAAACATCATCAGAGAGGCCCACCAGCATCACTGGAGACCACCTGCCTTACAAGAACACCACCAGAACCTCTGCCCAGTGCCTGACCCTAAACAACACTGAACACTGCTGTACCTAAATAATCAGACCCTTTAAATGGGTATAAAGACTACAATTCAGAATTAAACCGATTGTTAAAAAAATCCAGAGAATAGACTTGTGAAGTTCACACTAGCAGGGTAGAGATGCACACTTTCAGACGTTCCCCAGACGACGTTCTACATAATTACACTAGATGACAGTAGAGTCATTCAAAATAACTTAACGAACAAAGCATCCTCTTTTTGCTTGACCGCTAGATGGCAGAAGAGTTCGGGCTTGTGACAAACCAATAACACCCGATCTGCTTTTTAGTAAAAAAAGAAAAAAAAAAAGAAAAAAGGTTGCAGTTAGACTTTCATTTCGACAACACGCATCAAGCAAATTCATTCCAAAATCGATTGTTACAACACCTTCTTTTAATGTTTTGCTTTTCTGACCAGGGGGAAATGTGGCTAGCACTTAGGCTACTTCATGACACAGGCTCCTCACACGCAGACACAACTGTCACCCCAAACCCACATTTCTTCTGCACTGTCATCTGCTTTTTGGGTTCATTTGCATTAAACTTAAGGCTGTAAATGGGAGGGAAAATATATATTTCTATGCGTTTAAGGTTTTTTTTTATTTTTTATTTTTTACTCTGGCTAACATGAATTTCTTAAAGGGTAGCCTACCCTAATTGGAGTGAGGCTTCACCATTGAAATGCTCCTGTCGGATATCACACAATCGGCCACCTGCACATGACACAAATTATGTGTCCGTACAAGACGACTTGTCAACGACTGTTTGGGACATTTGTGAAAACAGGAGGACAGCAGCCGAACGGGGCTCCCGTTCATCACAGTATGTATGCCTGCCTATCGAGCAAGTAGAGATTTTGCTTCTGAGTCGGGGATAGCTTCATCTTTTGCTCGCTTATAATGTTTCAGTTAGTTTTAGTTAGGAAGCGCTTTTAGTTAGGCTATTTTTAACCCCAGTTAATTTCATAATACGCACGAAACTGTTTAAATTAAAGCGACTAAATATTTTGTACTTAATTCGACTTAATTTTGCGACTTAATTTGTTTAGATTTAAAAAATAAATAGAAAAAAAAGTTTGACTATGCTGTGAAAAAAAAAGTTATAATGTTGTTTATTTTCCCCGCACTCTATTACAGTGATATAGCCTAGCTATTTGACAAGGCACGTTTCTCATTATTTAAACATATATCAGTAGGCTGTTTAATAATAGGAGTTTTTTTCTTTGTTCCTCTTTATTCTAAATTTATTAAAATATCCAGAAATTGTTTCGTTTGTATTCACTTTGAACATATCAAAATAAAACGGTAAAATAGCACGGCGTTATTGAGCGCGCATAATATTTTTGTGGAATAGCCTATGTTAAATAATAATAGCTAGGTCTAGGCTATATAAGGGCTAAATAATAATCTATATTTTATAAGTTAAGAGTTAAAGAATACTTAATATTAAGGTTCATATTATTAGAATTAATAGCTATTCAAATGTTTATCAAATAAAATGTGAATAGCCAATTGTTGTATTTTACTGCTTAGGTTTTGAGTTTTAAAAAAATATATATTATTATTCATTAATCTTCATATTAAAAAAAGAATTTGAGTTTTAGTCTTGAATACTAGCTAAAAAACTTATTTAAATTATATTAAAATAATAAACTTTAAATGTTGGTTGTTGATTAAACAACAACAATATAGGTTAATAATAATAATATGCTAATGGTATGTTATTTATTAACAATTTAAATATTAGCCTATTTATGTCTCTAGCAGGTTCTACGGAAATATCCGCATAAGAAAAGGAACATGTTCTGTTCCATTTGAACCATTATTTACATTCGTCTTGACACGCTGGCAGATTTATGTCTCCCTCATATCGATTTGCGCAAAATGCTGGAAATCACAGCGTTGCTAAAAGCAAGACACTGTGTCTGCAAACGCATGCATCACTGCGGAAAAGATCAAGCACTGCCCCAGTCCAAGCACATCCAGCCCGACAGAACAAGTCCTCAGATAGCACGGATCTCAAAGAGGCCACCCGTGTGGATTTAATGGCAGTGAAAGTATTATGTGGAATCGGATTGAGGGAGATCTAGACATCTGTCAAAAGCAGCCAATATAATGTACATTAGTAATATTGAACCAAGAAAGACGTCGGCAGATCGGGGAGGATTAAGTACAATTCATAATCTGATCACGAAAACTCGGCTGCTTGAAAGCATCCAGGCCGCCACAATGCATATACAGATCAAGACGCCCTTCTGTGTGATATTCACAACCCTGCAGCCTAAATGTTATCGCGGACTGGGAGACCGTCGTCTATACCTCTAAACCATTTTCTGTACATAAATTACATCAGAATAAAGTTACTTTCCATCCATGCATAGTCAAATATTAAAAATGTAAACTTAAAAATTGAGGTTTGATAGGATATTATTTGGTCTATTTGTTATTACTGCATTTATTTGATTTATTTATTGCACTATAATATTAAATAGAAGACACAATTAGAAACTCAATTTGCTGTCTGAAATAAGTTTTTCTTTTTGCACATAATGCATAACAATATTTTTCTACACAAAGTCCACGATGACCTCCTGATGTAGACATCACACCAGACTAAATATTGGTGTCAGACAATGGATACTATAAGCAGGATAGACAACAGACAGCAAAGAGGGACAGCTAATCTGATCTAAATATGACAGGGGCAGTGCGGTGAGGGAGGGGGGGTTGGGGGGGGGGGGGCTGCTTAATTATGTTGTTGTTTTGCCTTGCTGTCAAACACCCCCCCCCCCCAAATTTGGAAAAGAGGTCCATGAGAATAATTGAGATAAGTATACATATTTATGTTTTTTTTTTTTTTTTCTGAAGTCAGCCAAATACGCCCCATAAACATGCTCTGTTAAATATGCTATTGTTACTCCTATGCTGATAAAAACAAATCAGTAATTGTCATGTTTTGGACAATGCTATTAGCTAGGACTAGTTTAGCATGACTGGCTTATTATTGTGCATCTTTTGAACATTTTATTAATTATCATAAACACTTAATTCAGTTTTTGAAGCACAACTGTTTTTGAAGCACAACAGATTCCTGTTTTGTGTTGATTAAAATGTATGAAAAACATGCTTGCTTTTTGTTTTCCTTTTTTTCTTAAGAGACAATAATAGCCTTTACATATATTTGTATTAAAAACACACACTAATTTGCATTACTGAATAACATGCCATTTGTCCAAATGTTTCACGTTTAGATTCAGGTCAAAGCTGTGAGCAGTGTGTAGATTATGCCGTACATTTTTAAGCCTATGAGGACTCAAAATGTTGTGTGCGCTTTAAGAGCTGCTTAATGTAAATACAAACGAGGCAAACATCTGAGGATCATCTGAATCCCATATTAAACTGAGCCGGATACTTTAGTAAACTAAGGAAGAGATCCAAAGCCTATTAAATCTAAGAGAAGTAGCCTTGAGTTTAGGCAAATCCATCTGATTGTTACCTTGGGAATGGCTTGAAACATTGTTACGTGACAGGAGACATACCACAAAGGAACAGTTTTCACTGTCAACCTGTAATGTGACTGTCAGGGTTAGCGTTGCTATCTCTCTATCTTAGAATGTCTATATAATTTGATCCCCAACGATGAAATATGGAAGATTCCCATGATTTCCATACTTGAAACACCTTGTGTAAGAATCGTACATTTTCAACCTCCTCCTTTATGTGTTAAACTTCAAAGCCAACAGTGACAGTTCCTTAAAGCGGATATGATAGAAGATGCATGTGCTTGGAAAAGAGAGAGAGAAAGATGGCTGTGGTTTGGATTGTGAATCACCTGAGAATGACCTGTGAGGTTTGTTTTGCTCAGAATGCATGGGTCTTCAGAGGAACCATATGCTATTTCTGGCTTCCACCTACAGCCATCAAAACATCTCACACAATGGGCCTTAACAAAATATGAATGCCAGGGAGGTCAACACTGAATGATGCCACATATTACCCAAAATAAATTCCTTTCAATAAGTAAAAGGAAATGGAAAGAGACACAGCACAGTGAAGTATATTGTAATAAGAGGATGTATGCACAAATTTAGAGATTTTGAAAACCAAACTTTTTTTTTTTTTTTTAAACAAAAGATCAATATTGCTTAATGAGCAGTGACCAGTAGCCATTTCATCTAAGGAAGTTTGGGATATTGATTAAGCAGACTTGAGTGGACATGACTCCTAAGTGTCAGAGAAAGGCTAATCATTCTTCTCTGGATAATTAGTTGACTTAATTATTATTCATTATGAAAGCTCTGTTTTAGTTCCAATGTAATTAGACAATCATTGTGGCTCAGACGCAGTTTAATTTTTTTAAACAATTAACCATTATTAATTAGTATATATTAACAGTTGCCTATATATTAACACAAATAAATCTACACTTTAAAAAATTTGCATTAAATCAAAATGAACTTTGTTAGTTCAGCAAACTTGTGCATTTTCTTTTCAATTTTGCTCAAATGAGCTCATTCAAAACTCAAAATATGACACTAACTTTTATAACACTAAAAGGTTATAGTCCTCGGGTGTCCGGTTAGCTTTAATCTTATATGCATTTGCATTTGTCGACAGTGTTTCTCTCATTTGATTCAAAATCAGCCCATCAGACTAAGTATAAAATGTAAAGTGAAAATGGCTGATGCAGCTGGAAATGGTGTCTGGTTCATGCAGAAGCGCTATTACGGCTGGACTAATTATGTATGTGTGCACAGAACCGTTGAATCTGAAATGTCAAATGGAAAACTGGATGATAGTGCAGGGCTTTTACTGATATGTTCTTAATATCTTACACTTCTACTCTCAACTGTCTTTTATATCTATATCATCACATCAATAAAAGACCATAGTGAATGAAATCGTTGTTTATCAAGATAATTTACAATTGATATAGAATATGTTACATACATGTTATTATAATGTACATAATTATATTAGAATGTACATATGTACATACTATTATATTATATTATTATATTATATTCACTTTAAACAGTGTACTTATAATTGAATGAAATGCTTTAACATTTTGCATTGCTCTTTTAAAAATAAAGACAAATGTTTGTTTGAGCGGACTGCATTACCGAAATGCCACCCTGCGGCAAAGGTCATTTATTACTAAATAGCATATGTATTATATATCTATAACAAACAACAGTATTAAGGTTACATTAGATTAATGGATGGCAATACATTAAGTCATGCGTATATGTTGCTGTCTAGTCTCAAAGCAATGTCAATGGACAGATGAAGGCAACAGCTGGATGTGAGACATAACAACTGGCTATCAGAGGAGCGGTGGGAATGAACACTGTCTTGATCCTCTCTTATGGCTTGTGAGGGTTTAGAGGTGGTCTACAACTGGACATCCTTTGTTCAAAAATATATTCTTTTTTTTAATACATTTTACTGCACACACACACACACACACACACACACACACACACACACACACACACACACACACACACACACACACACACACACACACACACACACAGTTAGCTTATAAACGGCCAGGATATTGGGTGAACTATCCTTTTAAAAGACAATCAAATCCCGAGAGATTAGTCAAAGTTCTAACTTAGTTCCTGGTCAAGTTTTTTTTTTTATATATATATATATATATATATATATATATATATATATATATATATATGAGCACAGCCTGATACAGAACAGACATCCTCCTGTTGGGAAAAAAGCTCCTCACCCTTGGCTTCTAATCCCATGTTAGAAAAACTTAAAGCAATTGCTTTAAGGTGCTGAAATGACATGCTGACAAATGTTATGTTTAGACTAATAGTTAAGACAGTCTGTGAGGGGAGCTGTACATGTCCCTCTGAGTATGCTGGAGACACGTTTACAAATGGACTTTCCCCTGATGACAGCTTTTAAGTAAAGGAGATCAGTAAGACTGCAGATAGTCTCCATAGTAACTTCCACGAATTAAACACCTGAAAAGAATGAAAGATTACTGGGGCCTCTTCCTCTCTTTCTGCTTTTAAAGTGGACAAAATTCATGACAACCACCACAGGAAGTCTCGTCTTGGGAAACTTTTGACATTCTCTCTGCAGTGGTTAATAAAATGGCTTATGAGAACATGTGGGATGCCAGTGTATTTGAGAACAATATGAATAATACGGAACTGTGGATAGAGACATAAAACAGCTTTTCATGTTTAGTTTTCTCCCCCCGCCCCCTTTTTTTTGTTGTTGCAGATTTTAAAAGTCTTGAAAGTAATTCTTGAATGCTTGCTGCTCACATTTTCATTTGATGAAGATGAGAATTTTAAAGCATTTTCTACAAGAAAATGCACATCTTTGCTTCTCCACCATAATATTCTTGTTCTTGATATGTCCTTTCTGCTACTGAATTATACAAATTGCAAAGTGTTAGTAGACGTTTTTGTAGAAAGAAAACAGGATTTTCACCAACAAACAGTTGTATATAATTATTTTTCACAGGTAGCTTATATACTGTAAGAGGAATGTATTCTGCCTGTGATGCAAGAGACATTAAATCAGGGAGACTGTATGTAAAAAAATAAATACTTTCTAACAATGGCTGGTGTTAAAAAACACAATACTGGCCAAATGCATGCATGACCTTGACAAAAAAACACAAACCCTTAGTCCTGTCAAAAGGGATATGCTTTAAGAGGTGCAGTCGAAGAGTTACTGCAGCTGATGCTGTTGTTTTTTTCATAAGTGGCTGCCTGCCATGCAGAGACCCTCATTTGTTTGTCAGGTCTCATCAACACAAACTCAGAGACTCAGACTCTGGCCATTCGTACAGCTACAATGTTACAGCGTCTCTGTTATTTCCAGGAGGATGTATACATGAATTGATGAGGTCGATTGTAAATCAATCTTATAAAATCTCTATAACAGTTACTGTTTTGGACAAACTGTACCTTTTTAGGTTATATTTTATGTAGAGATGAAATACACTTAACAGAGCATATAACAGAATGACTTTATAAGAGATCATGTTTTTTAATTTATGATATTTGAATTCTTAATTAACAGCAAAGTAGGCGAATGACATGCTTTCAAAGCAACTCTAACTAAAACTGTATAGATGCAGCAAACAGTCATGCCAATCAAAAATTCTAAATCCATTAGCAACCTTTGTGGCCCACTACATAATGAAAACACACGCTCACTTTTGCCAGAGTCAGATAAAAACACCACTTCAAGTCTCTCGGGACAAGAAGAGCCATTTCATGTCTGCATGAAAAGCTGCGTTGTGGACATTTGAAATTATTCTTTAATTAAGAGATATTATGTGTGCCACACATTGAGATATTTCCATAAGCACCATTGTGGATGGGTGTAAACCAAACTGTGCTTGAGTGAGTGCGGTGCAATTACCGTGAAGGTTAGGTGTAGCACAGGGGGGTCAGCGTCATGGCTGGCTTTCTTTTCAGACCAGCACTTTAGATGAACTGTTGCCATGATCTGAATTGCATTTAAAAAGAAGGCCTTAAATCAGTGTTGTAGTTCTTCCGCTGGCACAATAGCCATGCAACTGTTGTTCTATTATGCGTAAAATATATTATAATATCATTAGGCAGGTGCCTCGACTATTAGAAGCGCTTCACAGAAACACGAATCTTCTTGTAACACGATCAATTTGTTTCATGCAGGAAGAAAGTGAACACGCTCCGAGTCCCTGAAGGTGCTAACTGAACACGAGTCTTTTCCAGGGCAGCACCTGGAGACTCTGTTTGTGACACGCTGTTGCCCATGGCTGCCTTCCAGCAGTGCTTCTTCAGGGATCCCAGTATGTAGAACAACCGCCTCGGATTCTTCAGCCACGCGCCGCCTGAAACTTTAATGCTGACACGAGGAACGAGTTGTCCAGATGTGAACAGGGAATACCTCCGTGATACGGACAGTAATCCCACCTCCTGTGAGTGTTGTACGAAACACTCAAGACATAGGGAGTGATGACTGCTTGAGTTAATTTCTCTTACTTTTTCTGTACTGTTTTGCCAAATGACAAGTTTCATACCATCTGCTTCCTTTCCCCTGTTAATAAGTTTTCCCAGCCAGCTGAGTGCCCACTCAATTATTTAGTACGGCGGGGCCGCTGTCAGATTCACATCCATGCTTCCATGTCCATCTCACCGAGATACAGCCAAGGATGTTTATCACACTGTTAGATTCTAGTGGCTGAAAGATATAATGTCAAAACACAAGCACAATAATGAATATAATGGACTTCACCAACCAAATCCTTTTCAATGTGATCTATGAAATGTATGTCAATTCTGAGGAAATGTAGTAGGCTACACATTAATGTATTGTGTAGTAATTTAGTTCAAATATACATTTAACAACAAAAATAAAACATATCTCTCTTTGATCTCATTCTATTTGTAAACTATGAGTAACCATTCATAACACTTTATAATAGGTTGCACATGTTTCATGTTTACACCTTTGGATTCAGATCATTCGAGTTTAAGGGCACATGGAAACATGGGGTTACATGATACACTGTTAAAAATGAGCACATGTCAAAACGAAAACACAGATACTTACAAGACAAAAGTAGGAATGTCTTTTACCTGTTCTCTTCAACCGACAGCTGAATGCAATGCTCTGGCTCGTTTAAAATGTTTCAAAATGGTAGAAATGTTTCTTGCGCGATCGCGAGAACGGTGATCTGTACTAACTATCAAGTCTCGCGTTGCCAGTAGTCATGTCTCAGTAGGGCTGTTGCCATCCAGCGGTTGAGAAATGTAATTGCATTTTAATTTAATTTAAAATTAAATACAGTCAAATAATATCGTAGATTTTTTATGAATGTGACAGCAAACATGAAGCTGCCTGTAACATCTCGTAAGTTATTTTGGCCAAAACGACATGTATCCAAATGCAAGGTTATTTTGGCTCGTGGGTTACGGACTATATCGGGTAAAACAGAGACGGTGAAATGACGGCTATACGCCATAGACAGTAAAAGAAATGGACACAGCGACCCCGTTGATTTCAACGGAGAGAGTTGAAGCCCAACATGGGCGAGATAGGTCCGACTGGAGAACCGCAGAACTATACGTCATAGCAGTGTATGACAGCGCCAGCCTGACAGTCTGATGCCGGAAGTGGGCGTGGTCAGGCACTGCGCTACTTCTGTGTTTTAGAACGTTTCAAAGTTTAAAACAATGCTATTATAAATATTTGTTTAAACGATTTAATTAAAGATATGTTTAAGATGTGTGTGTGTATATATATATATATATATATATATATATATATATATATAGTTGTGTGTATATATACAGGTGAAACTCGAAAAATTTGAATATTGTGCAAAAGTTCATGTAATTCAGTAATTCAAATTAAAATGTGAAACTAATATATTTAGTGTATATAACTATATACATATGCATGATTATACTTTTCAGAGGGCCGACATTTCTGTATTTAAAATCCTTTTTTGTATTGATTTCATGTAATATTCTAATTTTCTGAGATTTTAAATTTGGGGTTTTCATAATCTGTAAGCCATAATTATCAAAATGATAACTTTCGCACGATATTCGAATTTTTCGAGTTTCACCTGTATGTATATATATATATCAAATATTATAAAATATAATAATTATTTGTCCTATTAACAAAAGACAATATACTACTATTAAAAATGCTTTTCAATTCAATCAAATGTTCAAGCTTTGTTTTAATTTTATTATTATTTTTGTTTAAAGCTTTATTCAATTTATATTGTTAATCATTTGACACAACAAATGGATAAAGTATAATTTTAACTTTTAAAAAACTATTTTGTTAATACTCAACCATTTCACAACTAACAATTTTTTTTCATAGACCAAACAACATAATTCTAGGTGGACTGAAACAAAAATTATTAATTAAATACAATTATTTTTTTCCTCTGAAATGGCAAAAGCATCACACACAGATGTACCTGCTCTAAATAGCTAAATAATAGTAATTAAATAAAAATAAAAAATCGAACTAAATAAAATAAATTATTAAAAACAAAATCAAACCAAAGAAAATAAAAGCGAGTGTCATGACGAAAGGCGCCTCATGAAATCATCAGGATTAACTCCATGTGTATGGAGTTTTGATCTATTTAGTTTATTTGTCACTTGAGAATTATTGTTAAATGTGTGCCTGCATAACTTTAATAAGATTTATTTTCTTTGGTTTGATTTTGTTTTATATAATTTATTTATTTTATTTATTTTGATTTTATATTTTGATTTAATTACTATTATTTATTTGGAGCAGGTACAGCTAGTGTGTGATCCTTTTGCTATTTCAGAGGGGGGAAAAACACATTTTATTTAAATTGTATTTATTTTATTTTACATTTTATTGTCCCGTTGCTTTAATGAACTCTCTATGGGCTTCTCCCTTGACTTTATGCCTCCATGTCCACCCGATTGCCTCATAGACAGTAAACGATTGCCTACGAGCTTCTACTTCTGTCTATACGGTAATTTCTCTACTGTGCGACAGAGCGTCCCGTGGTTATGACGCAATCGTTAGCCTATTTTTACAAGAATGGCTTCTACGGGGCCATAACGTCAGATACAAAGTAATGAAGCCTTTTATACATTGTCGTGTTTCTTTAGAAATAAATAATGGACAAATGGAGTCTTTGGACGCCTCAGATGTAAAGTTATTCGCTGTCAAAGTGACGCCAAAATGAATGGGAGTCAATGGGATGCTAACAGCAGGTGATAGCCAGCTACAATGGCGGCCCCCGGAGGCAGCTTCAACTTCCGGCTGATGGATTACCCCCTTGCTATACGCTGACTTCACGCAGCAGCCATTTTGAAATCGAAAGCGAGGCTCCAGTGGGAAGAACCCCGGAAGTACAGATAGACAACAATGCCTTGGACTACCAACCTGAAGCTGCTGCCGCGATTTACACTATTGGATGTTAATATCCAACATAGGATATGTATATAGTTCGTTCCTGCTTCTTTTTTTACGTTCTGGATTATATATATAAAAAATAATTTTATTTATAAATGAATTTCACTGTATATATAGTCTAAAGTATGAAAGAAATGTATGTACATTTTTAGAATAACTAATTTCTACATTAAACACAACAATACGCCATCACATTCGTGACTCTCCTATGATTAAAGGCGACACTAACGGTTTTCTTCCCACCGGAGCCATTTCAAAATGGCGGCTGCGTGAAATCCAAGTGGGTAATCCATCAGCCGGAAACTGAAGTGTCCCCGGGGGCCGCCATTGGCTAACAAGCCTTCACCTGCTGTTAGCATTCCATTGACTCCCATTCATTTTGGCGTCACTTTGACAGCGAATAACTTTACATCTGGGGCGTTTAAAGACTCGATTTGTCCATTGTTTATTTCTAAAGAAACACGATAATGTATAAAAGCCTCCATTACCTTGTATCTTACGTTATGGTCCCGTAGAAGCAGTTTTTGTAAAAATAGGCTAACGATTGCGTCATAACAAGCGACTCTGTCGCATAGTAGAGAAATAACCGTAAAGACAGAAGTAGAAGCTCGTGCGCAATCGGGGGGACATGGAGGCATAAAGTCCGATAAAGTCAAGGGAGAAGCCCATGGAGAGTCATAAAGTTGCTCCTGCTGCTAGCTCATGGACATCTAATACTCACGCTCTCCGTCTCTGCAAGATTCGGAAGGGAATGATTCAGATTCCTCTTGGCACAACTACTAGCAGACGTACAACTGTCAGACAAGTTGCTCACGTCACATCTACGTCATCAAGCTTAGTTTGAGCCTGCGCAGTGCGCTTGGCAATCAGGAAGTGAGGGCTTCTAATTGATATGACTACACTTTTCTCCGTTGAAGTCTATGGGGTCGCTGTGTCCATTTCTTTACTGTAAAACCTGATGAGTTAGTTCAACTCAAACCGTTTGAGGAAACCGATTGCCTTAAATCATTTAAGTTTATTAACTCAAACAATTTAAGCTTAAAAAAATATTTGATTTGTGTTCAAGTAACTCAATAACTTATTGTTAAGATAACTTGGGTAAATTAAGTTAATAGTACTAATTCCATTCAGTTAATATAACTTAAATCTATGAAGTACACTGTAAACCCAAATAAGTTGGCAGAACTCAAAATACTTTTATTAGTATAAACTTAGTTAGCTTTAAAAAGCTAATCTGCTAACATAGTAAATGCTAACATATTAGCAATAGTATGTTATACAGAAACACTTGCTGTATGAGCACAGCAATATAAATTAGTGATGGCCGGTTCGTGAACGAATCGTTCTTTTGAACCGGTTCTTTTTAGTGAACCGGTCGAACCAGTACACTAAATCGGACTGAATCGTTCGAAACAGTTCGCGTCTTGCGTCAGCGCTGATCCACAAGTTAAAGTTACTCACTTTCAGACAAGCCTGACAGTCCCTCCGAATCGAAATAACCCATATATTTATATATATAACCGGTATATTTTACTCCAGTAAATGCAACAGTTCACTGAACTGAGACATGTTGTGCTGAGAGAAATGATGAGATTGAGCACGAGCAGCTGATACCGCGCATGCGCGTTCTACTAAACGCACAGGTACACAGCGGATTATCACTGTATTATTTTAAAGTTTGGAAACAACGAATGGATTGTAAAACTGTCAAACTAAACATTTATTATTATATTATATTAGAATTGGCGTCATTACGTGATGACGTAAAAGAACTGGTGAACCGGTTTTTTGAACCGGTTCATTGAAACGAACTGTCCGAAAGAACCGGTTCGCGGAAAAAAAACGGACTTCCCATCACTAATATAAATGAATTATTTGCTCTCAAATCAAGCTGCACGCACCACTTGTCGCCATGATGGTAACTATCCTAAAGCCAACATTAACAGAAATTCTTCTAAATTAGCATAACAAAACATGAATCACTACTAAATCCCACACATAACATTAATCTTACACACAAAAAAACATTATATTACACTTAATTTTAGCATTTACTCTCCCTTTCGAGTGCCATCGGCAAAGCATGCTGGGAAATAGACATCCCAGCTGTTTCAGTTAAACTTAAGTTCGTCTAAATTAAAATAAATAATTTCATAAAACTCAAAACAACGAAACAGTTCAGTTTACTTAAAATATATCAGTTCAGTGAACTTGAAAGAAAAAGAAAGTGCTAAATAC